TTTGCTCTCCCCAGAGGCTCTTGTTCAACATTTGCCAGCAGACCACTTTCCCAGAGATCTATTTGTCCTCTTTATGTGGTCTGGAGTTGCTATCCTGTGTCTCCTCGGGAGACCATGGTGCCTGAGGAAAAGGATGACAAGTCACAGGGCCAAGGCTGAGGTCCCACTCTATGGGTTGGCCCTACATCACCTGCCTTGGGTCCCATCCCTTTGTGTCATGGCTGCTGGCCTTGCTGGAACATGGGACCCAACTCTGCGAGTGCAGCCACATGGACTCAGGTGTGTTGAGAGGCAAGCCACCTTAAGTGCACGGTCACCAGTGTCTTGTATGCACCATGGAATTTATTAAAGAATAAGTTGCTAGGGCCAGGGCTATAGTCAGTTGGTAGAGGACTTACCTAGCACTTGCCAGGCCCTGGGTTCAAACCCCACCACAGCATAAAATGAGAGTGTAATGGTGTGTGTCTGCTATTCTAGCATCCAGGAGGGGGAGCCAGAAGCATCTGAAGCTCAAAGTCATCCTCTATTCTTTAGTGAGTTTGGGGCCATCCTGGGATACATGAGACCCTGCCACCACCACCCAAAAAGATGTTAACGTCGCATTTTCACTGTTCATAATTGTGGTGGTTTAAATTAGAATGGCCCCTTGACAGGCGTTGGTGGCGCACGCCTTTAATGCCAGCACTCGGGAGGCAGAGGCAGGCGGAGCTCTGTGAGTTCAAGGCTAGCCTGGTCTACAGAGCGAGTTCCAGGACAGCCTCCAAAACAATACAGAGAAACCCTGTCTCAAAAAACAAAAAACAAAAAACAACAACAAAAAAAAATGAGAACAGCCCCCATAGGCTCATACATTTGAGGCTTTGTCCCCAGTCGGTGGAACTGTTTGGGAAGGATTAGGAGGTGTGGTCTTGTTGGAGGAGGGGTGTTCCTGGGGGTGGGCTTAAGATTTCAAATCCCATACCAGGTCCAGTCTACCAAGTCTCTCTCGTGTCTCTCTCTCTCTGTCTCTCTGTCTCTCTGTCTCTGTCTCCCCTCTCTCCTGCCCTTATATCAGAGGTGAGCTTGCAGCTACTACTCCAGCATCATGTCTGCTGGCCTGCTGCCATTCTCCTTGCCATGATGATTATGGAGACTAACCCTCTGGAACCATGAGCCCTCAAATTAAATGCTTTCTTCTATAAGTTGCCTTGGTCACGATGCTTTGTCACAGCAATAGAAAAGAAACTAAGACACTAACCAATTTGTGCCCCAAACAAACCTGGTGGTTCTCCTGAGCCTCGACTTGTACCTCTGTAAAACGGATTGTCAGTAGCAGTTGCTTCCTTAGGATGTCACAAAGGTAAACTATTTGTTCCTATAAAAGAGCTTTCTTATTGGAGGATTTACAGTGTTATCCTTACTTCCTATCCCAAAGGCAGGTGTGAAGAGCATGATGCTGACTTCTTTGCTCAGCCTATGATCTGCACATGGTAGGTGATCAATTACTGTTCCCAGTAGGAACAAGATGGGCCTTTAAGAGGATGGAGATTTTCCTTTGACAGTATCTGGCCATTCCCACCACTAGGAGGCGTCCCAGAACCTCCTACTTCACCGCCCCCTCACCTGTGCAAGCCCGCACCTGGTGCCGCCTCCGGAAGAGGACGTTGGGGATCGGGGGAACTTCGGAGGTAGCCCGGTGGCGACAGGTGAGAGCCTAGGGGGTGCAGAGGGCGGGACAACCAGATTTTTGGCATGGTTGGGGGAAGACGGGTCGGCAGGGCAGGATGAGGGAGCTCAGGAAAGGCCTCTAGGGACTCTGGAAAAAAACTCCGGGAAACCAGGACACCACAAGCAAAGAGAGTGGTGGGTATGCGCTGGATACCCAAAGCAGGAGTCGGGGGACCCATTGGCTCTGGACCTGGGCCAGCTGGACTAGGTGTTACACCTGGGATTTTCTGGCCCGGCGGTACTTGCCACCTGTCGAGAGGAGGGGGACAGGTGTGCGAGTGCTCTGGGGTGAATAGGGAGCGGGAACCCTTCCGGGGTTGGCATGAAGAAGCCAGAGTGTCAGGCCTTTCCTCCTGAGCCCCCAAGCCCCTGTCCCTGGGCGGCCCTCTTAAAGCACAGGGCTCCCATCCCCAGGGGCGGGCCGGGAAGTAAACAGAAACCCGAAGTGGCGGCGATGGTGCGCTGGCTGGCACAACCTGTTACCTCGCCCTGCGCTGGGCTAGCGCCAAGGCCCAGAGAAACTGGGGGTCTGGGGATGAAAGCTCCTAAATCAGGAGGGGTAGAGGCAGGAATACCTGGGTCTTGCTAAAATAAAGACCTAAGAGATTCCATTGGGAATCCAGGAGAGAGGGAAACGATGGGTGTCAAGACTGACAAGGCTATACAAGTCTAAAACATCTGAGAAAGTAGAGCCAGGATCCTGGGAAGCAAACGGCTAGAGATCTGAGTTTCTGGAAGGGGAAGGAGTTGGATGCCTGTGGCTAAAGGGTCAAGACACACCCAGGTACCTAATGGTGAGAGCCCTGCACTTTTAGGATAAGGAGCTGGTTTTATCCTTGTAGGCTGAGTCTACCTGAGCCTGCGTTCTAGGGTTAGCGCCCAGGTGGTGAGGGACTGGGAGGGGGAGCGGGAACTGGTGGCTTGTGGCACCAGAGTGCAGGGACAAAACTTCCTGAAGGCAAAGATCATGAGGCAAAGGCAGAAAGGTAGGAGTCAGGAGGCAAGATGGCTGATTGCATCCTGCTTCCTGCCTCAGTCTACCCTAAGGTCACTAACGGAGCCGAGCGGCCAACATGGATCATTAACCCTTGTTGGTCCAGGGAGGCCCTGGCTGCAAGATTGGGAGGCTTGGGTGTTTGCCACGAGGTGCTGAGCCCTGGGGCTGCTGCAGGGTGGCAGATCAGCAACAGCCTGTCTCCACAGATGTGCAGGTACCATGGACTCCCCTGGTGGGCCGAGCTTCCCTCCTGGGCTGCTGTCAGGGGGCGCTTCTCCTAGTGGTGATGAAGGATTCTTCCCCTTTGTGCTGGAGCGCCGAGACTCCTTCCTGGGAGGGGGCCCAGGGCCAGAGGAGCCAGAGGACCTGGCCCTGCAGCTGCAGCAGAAAGAGAAGGACCTGCTGCTGGCTGCCGAGCTTGGCAAGATGCTTCTGGAACGCAACGAGGAGCTTCGGAGGCAGCTAGAAACCCTGAGCGCTCAGCACTTGGAACACGAAGAAGTGAGCTGGCCTCTGGGGCACGTGGAGGGTGGGCAGGATGGGGGAGGGCAGGGATGAGAGCCCAGCAAGGAGAAGAGCACTGGGGAGGACAGGTGGGCAGAATGGTGCCTCTCAAACAGATCTGGGCAGGGAAACCAGAGATAGTGCCAGCCTGAAGTTCCAAGACTTTATCCCAAGAGAAAAAGAGTCAGGCATGGTGACACACACCTTTAATCCCAGCACTGGGGAGGCAGAGGCAGGCAGATCTCTGTGATTTCAAGGTCAGCCTGGTCTACAAAGGGAATTCCAGGACAACCAGGGCTACACAGAGAAACCCTATCTCAAAAAACTGAAGAAGAAAAAAAAAGCAGGCTGGGTAGAGTTGGTTGGTAGAATTCTTGCCAAAGAACAAAGCCCTTAGTTTGGTCCCCAGCAACACATAAATGCAGGCATGGTGGGGCCTGTAAGGCAGTTCTTCAAAAGTGGAAACAGGAAATTCAGAAGGGTTCAAGGCCATCCTTGGCTACATAGTGAATCCGACTTGGGCAACATGAGATCCTAAAAAAGAAAGCAAGGTGCCGGGCGTTGGTGGCGCACGCCTTTAATCCCAGCACTAGGGAGGCAGAGGCAGGTGGATCTCTGTGAGTTCAAGGCCAGCCTGGTCTACAAGAGCTAGTTCCAGGACAGCCTCCAAAGCCACAGAGAAACCCTGTCTCGAAAAAAAAAAAAAAAGCAAGGCAGCCAGCAAGGACTCGAGACTGGAGGTATAGCTCAGGAGTAAAGCATTTTTTTGTAACACATGCTTGGGTTTGGTCCCCAGTACAGCAAGAAATAATAATCTCTGCCTGGATATGGTGGCACACACCTTTAATCCCAGCACCTAGGAGTCAGGGACAGGCAGACATCTGTGAAACCAAGCTAGTCTACATAAGTTTCAGACCATCCAGGACTACATAGTGAGATCCTGTCTCGATGACAAATAATTTAAGGACAAACAAAATCTGCATTCAGCCCCTGGGCAAGCTGTTGGCCCTCTCTAAATCTAAAGGTGGCTCATCAACCATCCACTATAGACTGGGTGCCAATCCTCGCCTTCACCCTGCTAAATGCCCCCCTTCTCTCTTCATTTTTGTCCCAGCCTGGGTCGAGCTCTGTCAGCCCCACTCTCGCCCTGGGGCTCATCTCTGTGGTGTAAACACCTTCATGTACCCACATTATAGACCCGGATCCCTGCTCCAAGCTGACCTTGTTGGCCAACTACCCTGCACCCTCTCCATCAAGCCCCCAACCATCATTTGCATATGAACGTTGCTCCCCACCCATATTTCATTTGCTCTGTGGCTTCAGCACTGGTGGTAGCCTCCGTGTCTCCACCTCAAGCTCTGCAGCGTCCCCACATTGGCCCCAGCTTCCAGGACTCTATGAATCTGGTAGCAGAGAACAAGACAAAGTCCAATTAGATGGGGCGGGGGTGCACGCTTTTAATCCCAGTGCTCAGAAGGCAGAGGCAGGCGGATCTCTGTGAGTTCGAGACCAGCCTGGTCTACAGAGTTCTAGGACAGGCTCCAGAGCTACACAGAGAAACCCTTTTTTTTTTTTTTTTTGGTTTTGGTTTTTCGAGACAGGGTTTCTCTGCATTGTTTTGGAGGCTGTCCTGGAACTCGCTCTGTAGACCAGGCTAGCCTTGAACTCACAGAGCTCCGCCTGCCTCTGCCTCCCGAGTGCTGGGATTAAAGGCGTGCGCCACCAACGCCCGGCGAAACCCTGTCTTGAAAAACCAAAAAAAATATAAAAAGTAGAAAATAAAAAAAAATCACATGACTTTATCCTGGACTAGCATCTCCCCACCACAGTTAGGATGAAACTGAAACTCCTCGCTGTGGCCTAAAAGTTCTGGGAACTGCCATCCTCTGATGTCAGTGACACCTTCCCTCTTTTGTAGGGTCTTTTCAGTTCCTCCAGTGACTCAGGCCTGCGCCTTTAGGGTCCCTACATTTGTCTGCCTGCCCTGCTTTTGAGTCAGGCTTGCTATGCAGCTCAGGGCTGGCCTTGAACTCACCAGATGCTGAGATTACAGATGTGTGCCATTGCTTCTGGTTTGCACTTGCTGTTCCACTTGCCACCTTTTCTGGCTGGCTTCCCTTGTCCTGCAGGGGCCGATGCAAACATCAGCCCCTCCTTAAGTGACCCCCCACACTTCCCTGAGTTCCTCCACGACCCTGGCTCTCTGAAGCTGCCTGATTCCTGCATGTGCCCATTTGCCTGTGACCCTCTGGCAATGAGTTTGAAGTTGCTGATCTTCCTCAATTCTTTAGCCAGACCTTAGAATAAGAGGAGCACAGGAAATACTGAATAGAGATGACGATGACGTGTGTCTGTAGGGGTTGAAGGGCAAGGGCTTGAAGATATTAAAGGGACTTGCAGATATTGCAAGTAGCAAAGCTAAGCACCAGCCAGAAAAATTGGGCCCCAAAGCTTCCCAGGACTTTGTTGCCCTAGTAATATTAAGAGTTTGACTAGCTAGATGCCATCCTTACTAACTTGGGACCCTGCTTCCTCATCTAAGGATGCTGGGGCGCCCTCTAGTGGACGAAATCAAGTAATACAAATAGAGAGCCAGAAAAGCACCTGGCTGAAAACACCTGCTAATAATTGTAGCAACTGTGGTTAGAGTCACCTGGCTCATCCCTTCCTGCTTTGAGGGCCCAGAGACAGTGGACGCCCCCAGACCTGTCTGTCTTCTCATGCTGGACATCTCAGTGTGTCAAGCGCCCCCCCCCCACGCTGGTCCAACAGGTTTAGAGGAGGGCAGATAGAGGGGTGGGGCTCTGGGTGGGACAGCGCAAGATTAATTAGAGGGAGAAGAGGAGAAGGGCTGGGCCAAGCTGGCCCACAGAAGTTCCAGGAGTCTTCGAAGTGGGAGGCCATGGGCCGGGGCTTAAATTCTACCAGACTCAGGCGCCAAAAACGACGCTTACGACTTCGGGTTCAGAAGCCCAGGCGGCAGCAGGAGGTGAGTGAGCCTCAGGGCTGTGATTCCCTCCCCTGTCCTGTCAGCCCAGCTGTCCTGCCGGGAACCCGCTTCCCAGCTCTCTCTGGGTCCCAGTTCACTCTTACTGACTCTCCAGTTTTTGCTTTCTTGGCCTCTTTCAATCTGTGTGACCCTCCCTCCATCCTGGTCTCTGCGTTTGCTCCAGTCTTGGGCGATTTCATCTTTTCCCTCCCCACAGAGGCTGCAGCAGGAGAATCATGAGCTCCGCCGTGGACTGGCAGCCCGGGGTGCTGAGTGGGAGGCCAGAGCTGTGGAGCTGGAGGGAGATGTGGAGGCCCTACGGGCCCAGCTTGGGGAGCAGCGGTCAGAGCAGCAGGACAGTGGTCGAGAGCGGGCAAGGGCCCTCAGTGAACTCAGCGAGCAAAACCTCAGACTCAGCCAGCAGCTGGCCCAGGTAGATTAACCCCTGACTCCTGGGGGCGGGGGTGGCTGACACGCAGGTCCTCAGTGGGGGACAAGTCAGTGGACAGGCTGTATTTGGTGCTGAGCCCAGACGGCTGGATGGTTCCACTGTCAGTCACCCCCGCCCCACCCCCAGGCCTCCAGGACCGAGCAGGACCTGCACCGGGAGCTGGACACCCTTCGGGGGCAGTGTCAGACTCAAGCCCTGGCTGGGGCAGAGCTGAGAGCGCGGCTGGAAAGTCTGCAGGCAGAAGTGAGTGTCAGCTAGTGCTCCCCGAGACTGGCCCAGCAGCCCCCCCCCCAGCCTCCACCTCATCTCTGACACCCGTCCCCAGAACCAGATGCTGCAGGATCGCCGGCAGGACCTGGAGGCCCAGATCCGAGGCCTTCGTGAAGAGGTGGACAAGGGTCAAAGCAGATTACAGACCACCCACGAGGAGTTGCTGCTGCTTCGTCGAGAGAGGAAAGAGCACGGGCTGGAGGTGACCAGAGGGGTGGGGGTAGGGGCAGCCAGCTAGGCCCTTGGCAGTGCCTCAGGACTTTCTGGGAGATGTGGCCAGTTAAATCACCAAGAGCAGGAGCAAGTGGGAACCGTGGGAACCGAGAAAGAGTGTGGAGTGAGGGGAATACACTCATAAAGTGCCTCAGAGCCTGGCTGGAAGAGGGCTGAGCTCAGAGCTCAGGGCAGAAATGGCTGGTCTGGGGCTGTGGATAGGGTGAGAGAGTGAAAATGGAGGGCAGCCTGAGTTCAGATGGTTCAGCTTCCCACCCTACTCAGTTTCCCCAGTTGTGAGAGGGATGGTATTATACACCTCAAAGGACCGAGGTGAGGGTGCGAGACTCAGAAGGATCAATAAACGCTAGATCAAAGCAATTAGTGAATTAGAAGGAAGGCTGTGCAGGGACCTGATGGGGCCAGGCCAGGCACGCCCTGCTTTACGGGTGAGGAAATTGGTGCTTGCGAGGCGAGGTGTATATTCTAGGTTGCTCTGTGATTCACGAGGGCCGGCCTAGTCCATCGGGGTGCTGACCCTGGCATTGCTTGGCCCTCGGGCGCCCCCTGTGGGCCCACCGCAGAGCGCAGGCTTCCTGCTGACCGTTGGAATGATCTGTACGATCTGCAGCTGGAACGAGCTCGCTTCGAGGCTGGAGAGGCACTGAGCACGCTGCGGAGGCTGCAGAGGCGGGTCTCAGAGCTGGAGGAGGAGTCGAGACTCCAGGACGCCGAAGTGTCGGGTGCCTCCCTACAGACCGAGCTTGCCCACAGCCTTGACAGTGACCAAGACCAGCATGTCAGTGAGTGTGAAGGCGCCCAGGTGAGCTTTCAGCCTACCACCCCGCATTAGAATAACCAATGAGGGATGCAGGCTCTGCCCTTCCTTCCCCCGAAGGTTCCATGCAGCAGCGATCAATTCCTTTGGCTTATAGACTATCTTTTCCCCGGAGATCCAAGAAGCATCCAGTCCCCAGCCTTCAATCCAGGAAGAGAGCTTGGAGCCCCCCAAGAAGCGAGCATCCTTGAGTCCAGCGGAGATACTGGAGCAGAAGGAGGCAGAAGTGGCCAGGCTGCAGGATGAGGTTGGAGAGGGCATGGTGCTGGATGCAAAGGTCCAGGATGTCCCGTCCTTTCCCGTATTCACTGTCCAACCCACTCCTCAGTGAACCTGTAGTTGCTTCCTGAGCTGGCCTGTATCTCCAGGAAGCCTTCTGGACTCCACTCTCCTCCCTGAACTTCTCCCTTCATCCCTCCCGCTGAAGGCTTACCCTACTCCCCACCAGTCTGGCACAGACGGAGTTGCCTGCTGTGTTTCCGGAGCAGGCGCAGGCTGTGGGAGGGCACGTTCTTACCAGGCTCATGTTCCAGTCTAGCTTCTTCCCTGGCCTGCAGATCGTCCTGCACCGCACAGAGCTACAGACGCTCCGGGATGAGCTACAGCGACAGAAGGAGCTGAGGGCGCAGGACAATCGTGACGAAGCCCTGAGCTGTGCGCTCTCTGACCGGGACGAGGCCGTGAACAAGTGAGCCTGGCATTCTCACCCACGGCCTCAGCGGGGCTTGTTCTCTGGCCTTTTCTGGGCCCTCATTTCCACCGCTCTGACAAGAGTATAACCTCCATCTTGACTCAGAAGCTTCAGCCTTCCCTAATTTCTGTGCTACTGCCCTCTCCGCCCGCTGCCCTTTTCAAAGTGTCCAAGAGTCCCCAGTGCCCTTGTACCATTCTCTACCCCTGTCACTCGTAGGGCCCTGAAGCTGTCGCTGGAGCTCAGTCGTGTCTCGCTGGAGCGGGACTCTTTGTCCCGGGAACTGCTTCGAGCCATCAGCCAGAAAGTGGCGCTGACACAGGAACTCGAGGCTTGGCAGGTGAGAGAGCGGGCCCTGAACAGGACTGGTGGACACCATCCTGACCTGACGCCACCCTCACTCCGACCCATACCCACCCTCTCCTGCAGGACGACATGCAGGTGGTGATTGGACAGCAGGTGCGCTCCCAGCGCCAGAAGGAGCTCAGTGAGGCTGCAGCAGCTCGGCGAGGCAATAAGTCTGGCTTTTCACTTCGTCTGGGATCGGGGCAGAGCGGAGGATTTCTAAGCAACCTCTTTCGAAGGACCTGAGGGCTGGACAACAGCGCTACATTTCCTCGCCCTGAGGCTCACTTTCTTCTTAACAGCCAAGAGAACCACAGGGCCTGAATGACTTCCAAGTGAGACCATTTTCTTCCTTGCCCCAACAGATGGACAGAGGCACTTAGGGAGCAGGGGCCAGCTTTGGGGCAGCAGCCCCAGGTGGGTGGCAGGGCAGACTCATATAGGTCTATCTTCTCTAAGCACTGGGCACCTGCCCCTTCTGTGGAACAGGGTTAGGGATGGGTATTTATGTGTAAAGATAAGTCAGTCAGAGCAATGTATAAATCACTATACTTACTTGGTCTCCATTCTTGGATAGAAAGTGCAAACAAGAAAAACATAAAACTTTATTTTGACAAGAAAAATAAAGCTGAATGTAGTGGCTCACAGGTCTAAATCTCAGCACTCTGGCAACAGATAGGAGGAGTGCTCAGAGTTTGAGACCACGCTGAGCCACAAAGTGAGTTCTGGGCCAGCCTGGGCTAAAGTATAAGCCCATCGTGAGATGGAGGGTCAAGGTGTCAGAAGGACATGGAGAAAGCTCGGTAGCCCAGGTTGGTGAAGACGTCCACTCGACAGCTGTTGCCAGAAGCAGTCAGAACCTAAAAGCCAAGAAGACATGGCTGACCCACCCATCCCATAGGCCCCTTGAGATCCCCACATCCGTTCCATGACCCACCTTGCACTCGGGGGCTGCTGGCTGCTGGTTGAGGCTTAGGCTAAGCAGCCCTGGGGAGGAACCAGGCACCTGGGCCTTAAGCTCCCCACTCAGCTGCCAGTGGTTGACACAACAGCCCTGACCAGCAGACAGGATCTGTGGAGGACAAAGAGGTTCAGGGGTCAGGTCTAGCCAGGGCCACTGGACAAGGTGACAGAATCAAGAGGAGGGTCTCACCAGGTCCTGGTAGAAGGTGACATGCTTCTGAGGTGCCCGAATGGGAAAGACAGTAGTGGGCGTGGAAGACCTGAGGTGCCAGAGGGTGAGGGCTGGGCCCCCTCCACAGACCTAGGCAGAAAGTTAGCAGGCCCCAGTCACTCTGAGGCACGGACTTTAGTGATGACACCATCCCACTCTGCCCAGCTCACCATCCAGTCTGAGTCAGTAGCCAAACATCCAATCCAGCGCCCATTGTGGGGCCGTGAGCACTCCTGGGAAGGAGAGAAGAGGTGAGGACATTGGAAGACAGATAAGGGGACCAGGATGTAGGTCTCCCCTTACCTCATGCTTATAGACTTCGATAGTCTGAACCTCTTTGGCTATACGGAGATCTGTGGGAAATAAAACCACCAGGACTCCTGATGAGCCACAAAGCCCCGCCCCCCGCTTTCCTCACTCTGTAGACCACACTGGCCTTGAACTCAGAGATCTGCCTGTCTCTGCCTCCCAAGTACTGGGATTAAAGCGTATGCCACCAGACCCCCGCTTACTTTCTCGCTAATTAGACTTTTCCTTACCCCAAAGCCGTACAGCTCCATCCTCACCACCGGACAGCACCTCAGGACTGCGATCCCTCAGTGCCAGGCAATGGATATAGTCTGTGTGGCCGCGGAGGGCCCGCTGCAGGGAGAAGGGAAGGGGCCCGCTGCAGGGAGAGGGAGGCTCAGGAGGAGATGCAGGAGGCAAACTACCTTTGGCCCAGACTTGTCCTGGCTCCAGACCCCTACTCACTGTGAAGGTCCCAGTTTCCAGGTCCATAGTGTGCAGCTGACAATCTCCCCCAGCTAGAATGAGTGAATTCTCCTATGGGGGAAGCAGGAGAGAGCTGAAAGTTAGCATCAATCGGGGCAGAGGGCAACGTTTGGCCTAGAATGGTCACAAAGAGCTCAGACCTTGGGGACAAGCAGCAAGGCATTGATTTCAGGTACTTCCAGGCTGGTCCTAGGTGGAGGAGGAGAGGTGTCAGAATCCCAGAGGTAGTGTCACTGACCTCACATGCCCTCCGCCAGCACGGCCCCGCTCACCTGTATGGAGGCTGGCGACGCCACAGTTCCTTACAGCCCTTCACAGAGAAGCAGAGGAGGGAACGCTGAGTGACCCCAACCTCTCCAGGTGGGGAAGCCCCATGCGCCCAGGCTCCAGACTCCTACCTTCTTGAGGATCTCTGCCCAAAGCCAGCCCTTCACTTCGCCATCCCCAGCACTGAGCAGATGCCGATCTGTGGAGACCATGCTGTAGACAGGCCCGTCATGGGCTACAGGGACACAGAAAATGTTAATGAGCCCCTGTGTCTCTACCCTGAGGTTTCCTGAACCATACCCAACAGCTATACCCACCATGGAAGGTCACCATGGGTTTCTTGCTTTCTTCTTTGGCCTCTGAACTCAAGGCAGCAGACAAACTGAAAGAAAGGTGAGGAGGAGCCAAAAGTCAGAAGCAGGGAGCACGAACCCCAGAAGGTACAAGTGCTAGGCCCAATTGTGATGGGTACCTGAAGATGGCGATCCGCCCGTAATTGTTGCCAGCTGCCAGAAACTTCCCGCAGGGAGAGACACTCTGGGAAAAGATGGTCATGTGCAGGCGCTGCAGGGCCTGAGAAACCTCGGCCTGTGGGAGAGGGTGAATGAGGAGTCTCAGGGAGACCTGGGGCCTCCTCCCACAGACTCCTGTCTATCTGCCCTGCTCAGCCATAGCCATCTCCCCACACAAGGGTGGCTCCAGGAAGCAAGTGAGAAAAGGAGAACAGAGGCACAGCCTAAAACTCAGAGCAAGCACCAAGCCTCTCCGGTCAGCTTAACGGATGGACGGCACTCCCAGGAAATGCTGTCAGTTAGCTAAACTAATGAATAGTAAGCTTTGTAGCCAGATTTAGTAGTGCACCACTGTAATGCCAGCACCTGACGGGTGTAGCAGGAGGAGCAGTGGTAATCCCAGATTATGCTCAGCTACAGTGAGTTCAAGGGTAGCCTGAGCTACATGGATAGTCTCACACACACACACACCTGAGGATGTGACTGAATTGATAGTGCTTGATTAGCATGCCCCACGCCGTAAACTCAGTCCCCAGCACTGCACACTGCATTAAGCAAGCACACACCTGTGGCCTGTGATTTCAGCACTCAGGAGGTGCAGGCAGGAGGACATCCCCCACTCCATGACAAACTCCAGGCCAGCCTGAAATGTGTTGACCCTGTCTCAAAACACTAAGTGAGCAAAAATAATAAGTCAATATTTTAAAAATGGGGGGTGTGCCTGGAGAGATGGCTTAGCAGGTAAGTGTGCACTGCTCTTGCAGAGAACCCTACAGACCTACATGGCAGGTCACAACCATCTGTAACTCCAGTTCTAGGAGAGCAGATGTCACCTCCTCCAACCCCTCGAGAAAGGTTATCACAAGAAGCCCTCTGTCCCAGAGCTCATTATGTAGATCAGGCTCACATCATAGAGATCTGCCTATCTCGGCCTTACAAGTGCTGGGATTAAAGGCACTGAGTCAGTAGACCTTGTTTTTTTGCTTTTGTTTTTAATTTGTGTGTGTGTGTGTGTGTGTGCTTCAAGTGCCCATGAAGACTAAAAGAGGGTGTTGGGTTTCCTGAAATGGGCATCTGTAAACCCACTCCTACATGGCTGCTGGAAACTGAACTTGGTGCCTCCGGAAGAGTAACAAGCGCTTTTAACCACTGGGCCATCTCTCCAGCCCCCGTGATGCCTCTTCTGGCCTCTGAGGATACCATAAACACACAGAGCACACATACAACCTGTAGGAAAACACTTACAGACATAAAAAATGGGTAAATCTTACAAGAAAATAAATGGCCTAGTATGGTGGCACACTTTTAATCCCAACACTTGAGAGGAAGAGGCAGACAGATTTCTGTGAGTTCCAGGCCAGCCTGATGTACCTCCTGAAAACTTGTTTCAAAAAAACAAACAAAAAAGATAAAGTGGCTCTTGAGGCCAAGGGTAACTACTCAATGGGCAAACCATACTCTTTTTTGTTTTTGTTTGTTTTGGGGGGACAAGTTTTCTCTGTGTAATCCCTGGTTGTCCTGAAAGTAACTCTGTAGACGCGGCTGGCCGCAAACTCAGAGATCACCTGCTCTGCCTTCTGAGTGCTGGCATTAAAGGTGTGCAAACACTACCACTCGGCTTACCCAGCTCATGCTCCTTTTTGTTTTGTTTTGTTTTTCTCTATATTGCTTTAGAGGCTGTCCTGGAACTTGCTCTGTAGACCAGGCCTGGCCTCGAACTCACAAAGATCCACCTGCCTCTGCCTCCCGAGTTCTGGGATTAAAGGTGTGTGCCACCACAGCCTGGCTTATGCTCTTTTTTTTTTTTTAAAGATTCTATTTTTATTGCTTTTAATTATGTGATGTGTGTGAGGGGAGTGTGTGCAGGTGAGTGCAGGTGTCTACAGAGACCAGAGGATGCAGATTCCCAGGAGCTGGAGTTACAGGCAATTACGAGCTTTGGAACTTAAGTGCTGGGAACCAAACTCGGGTTCTTTTCATCTCTCCAACCGTTAAAATCCATTCTTACCCAAAGTCCTGTGTCTGAGCACTAGCACCGTATATATTGGGCATTATTTTTAAGTCAGGGTCTCACCATGTATCTGGATGACCTGGAACTCACTATGCAGCAGGCTAGTTTCTAACTCACAGAGATATGTCTACCTCTGCCTCCCCAATGCTGGCATTACAGGTGTGTGGCACCACGTCCAACGGCGCTAATTTTTTTTTTGTTTTGTTTTTTGAGACAGGGTTTCTCTGTATTGTTTTGGAGGCTGTCCTGGAACTCGCTCTGTAGACCAGACTGGCCTCGAACTCACAGAGATCCACCTGCCTCTGCCTCCCGAGTGCTGGGATTAAAGGCATGCGCCACCAACGCCCGGCTCGGCGCTAATTTTTTTAAAGTGGCTTTATTATCCCTCACAGTAAAATGTACTGACATCTAATCCCTATGTTACTATTAGATCCCAAAGATCGAGGATCACTGTTTTGGGTATCAGAGACTGAGTCCCACAAACCACCTACGCACACTGGGTATCCTGAAATATTTCTTGGCCACCAGGTCAAGGCAAGACTACAAACCCCAGAAGGCACTGTGCGCACACTCGACTCACCTGACCCAGAGGCACGGGCGACGGTGCGGCGTGATCCATCTTCAGAACTACAAGTCCCAGAGGGCTCTAGGCGCGACACAACCTCTCGACTTCCTACGTGCGTGAGAGTGGCTCTTCTCGTTGCGCCCCAGTACCTGGTACTGTCGGCCGTTCAACAACTAAGGCGGCAGGTCCGTGCTGTCTCGAACCACCGAACCTGGGGGGAGCTCCGCGAAGCACCCTTATGCTAAGTAGTGTCCAGGACTGTCCAGCTACGCAGAATCCCCTCCCCCCCACCCTGCCGACCCGTCCCGCCTTCTAACCTCGCGGTGCTCGCCTTCCGCGCCTGCGTCGAACGTCTCCAGTGAGCACGCCGGTGGCCCCGCCCCTCGCGCTGCACCACGCCCTCAAAGGCTCCGCCTCTGTCGTCTGGATCCCACCCCTCTATCTGCAGGACCCCGGACCGTAATGATCCTACAACAGCCCCTAGAGCGTGGCCCTCCAAGTCGGGATCCACGGATCACCACTGGGGTGACTCGCGGCCTGGACGCCAGGTGCGTAAGCGGCCCCTGCGTGGGTCGGACTAACGGAGGGCAAGAGCTTTGGCCGGGGACCCAGGGCCGGGCAGTAGAGTGATCCTGGGAAGTGAGGCTAGGTGGTACAGGAAACCGTGGTGTTTGAGCCTGTGTTGGAACTCGGAAACCACGGTCAGGATTTCCGAGGTAGCTTGATGGGTGACGGCCTGAGACCGTAAGGTGGCTTAGGCCACACAGACGAGACTGATTCTGGAATCCTGGCTTACACTGCAGGCTCACGTAAAGAGGGTGGGTGGGCTACACCTGGCTCAGTTTCCCAGCTCCCCTCTCCTGGAGCCCATGAGCACGGACACCCCTGGAGGAGCATTAAGTTTGGGGCCTGATGGGTCTCCTTAGATGTCACCTTTGGTCCTCATCAGTTTGCCTCCACCCTCAACATCCCTGCCTCTGTTTCTCTCTGGTCTTTCCCTTAGGGACCCCTTGCACAAGCAGTTTCTGTCTGAGGAGAACATGGCCACCCACTTCTCCCGACTCAGCCTACATAATGACCACCCCTACTGCAGTCCCCCTGTGACTTTTCCCCAAGCCCTGCCACCACTCAGGTAGGCACCTCCCCTTGCAGGGCCTTCTAGAGAATCGCATTCGGTCCTCAGAGCCCCTCCTCGTGCTCTGCCTCATCATGCTATTTTTAGCTTCTAGCCAACTTCTGTGCTGTTTTCCATCTTTGGCTCCAGGGGACCTGGACCTGGCAGGAGGTGGCTGTGCCAGCCCAGCCTCTGCCCCATACTTTCACTGTCTTTCTTCCTCTTTCAGGAGCCCTTGTCCAGAGCTGCTTCTCTGGCGCTATCCTGGGAGCCTGATCCCTGAGGCCCTCAGGCTGCTGAGGCTGGGGGATACCCCCAGTCCCTACTACCCTGCATCCCCAGCTGGGGACATCATGGAGCTCTGAGTGCTGATGATGACCAGTGACCCTCCTCACCTTATTCCTGACAACAAAGACCAGCAACCCCCAGAAAAGGATGAGGTCCTTCCCCAGTAACAGGACAGATGATACCGAGCTCAGTGATACCCTGAGTGGGAGGGGCATCAGCTTGGAAAGGGGAAAGTATCACCCCATTAGTGAATAAAGATTTCTGAGCAGTTGAAGGTTTCTCAACAGCGTTTGGGGAGGGTGGGTGGAGTGCTGGATGCTGGGGTTTTCTCTTCAAAATCTTCCCTGGAAAACGGTGAGGGCAAGCCAGGTCCTGGCAAGCTGGGCTCCAGGCATTGAGAATGTGTGAGTCAGAGCCTCACCCCCCACCCCCGCAGTGGCCGACTGACTCCCTCCCTCCCTCCAGTTCTGGGGAGTCAAGCTAGGGATCAGGCCATACTCGAAACCAATTCAAGTTAAAGATTCTTTTATTAATAAATTCTCCGTCCCCTCTAAACTTTATCCCCAAAATAAATATCCCCCCCTTTAGAGGATGGGTTGTGTGTGTGTTTGTATTAGGGCCAGCCCTCCCAGAGGGCCAGCCCCTAGTGTTAAGAACGGGTCCCTAAATCTGACCCCCCTCCCAGGGCTGAAACTTAGTGCCCATCTGAGTGGGTGGGACCTACTGTGTCTGCCCCTCAAGTCAGCCAGGCCCCCAGGACTTGGGGAGAGCAGGAGACCCCCTTGTGCAAATGCTGCGGTTCCTTAGTATGTGTCGCTTTGTGACCCAGCTTGAGGCTCCCTGCCTGGAACCAGAGACAGGGCAATCTAGACACCTTGGAAGGCTCCCCCGAACCCTAAGCCCAGTCCTGGGAGGTGAATCACCACCTCACCCCACCCCCTTGTGGTTGGAAGAGTCTGGCTCGGGTTGTCTGGGAGGCCAGGCTGGCTCCAGAATGAATGAATGGACGACGTGTGGGCACCGGCGCCGGTGCTCCTCACTGGATCAGTGCCACACCTGGGCAGCCCTCTCCACCAGTCTCCTCTATGGGGGCTGGAAAATAAGAAGGGGGGTTGTCATGATTAGGGAACATTTAGGGAAGTGATGGGGGAGGTGGGAAGAGCGAGGGAGGAGAGGCCACTTACTAGTAAACTTTTCTCTCCGTCGGCACCGTCTCCAGACCAGGAAACCAGAAAGTAGCGCCAAAACCAAGGCCAGACTGAGAGTGCCTCCCAGAATGGGCCAGAGCAATCTGAAGGGGGCAGGAGGTGCTGCTGCGCCTAGTGGCCAGGGCTCAAATCAGATTTCGCCCTTGGGAAGCCAGTCCTCCCTCAAGGGGATCTCAAGCTTTGTCCCCTCCCCCCCCCCCAGTGTTCCCCAACCTGATAGAAGCCCTTTCCCCAGTCAGTTTTCCCTGATTTCCTAGACCCTAAATTCAAGGCCCTCCTCTCCACCCCAGCAAACCTCGACCCACTTCTAGGATCCACTGGCCACCGGCCCCGACCCCACTCACATCCCAAGCAGAAGTCGCTGTGCGGTCGCGCTGGACATGAAGCGCAGTCCATGCACTTGTCGAGGTCCGCGCTCCAGGAGCTGCCGCTAGAGCAAGGGGCGGTGCCTGGGGAGGGGGCTGCAAGTCAGAAGCTGACGGCAGGGCGCGGCTATTCTGGGGGCTGAGGTCAGGGTCAGCCGGCTCAGATAACGTGAGTCACCATCGCCCCCCCACCCCCGCATTCCTCACAGGTGACCGCACCGCCTGACCGAGACACGGCAGTGCGGGAGGGGTAGCGCGCGACTTGCAGGGGGTGAAGTCCCCCCCCCCACGCCGTCAGAGCATGACTCACTCCTGGGCACTGGGCCCGACCCCAGTCCCTCCTCCCGCATAACTGGGCATTGAAGTCACCGGATGGAAGGGGCACCCCCACATGGTATAGAGGGCAAAGACCCCAGTGCCCCTTCGCGATTCTTAGCTATCGGGGCTGCTCAGACCCCATTACGGAGCAGGGTGAGGGCATGCCCTCTTCCCAAAACAAAACTTTCTCCCTCAAAGTTTATTTTCTCTCTCCACTCTGACTCGAACTTTTGAGACAGAAGACCCCACACCTGATTGGACAGGTAGTGAAACTGAGGCTCGGATTGTGGATAAAGCTTGGAGTGGATTGAGACCTTCCCCACTTGGAACTCGCTGCCGAAAGACCACGGATCGTAGATCCGCACGTCCACCCGGTTCCACTCGGATCTCCAGGCTCCCAAATTCCGCTCCTGGCCACCCAAAAGTCCGAGCTTCACAATCCCCTGAGCCAAGCATACCTGGTGCTTGTTCTCCGGCCGCGGCGCGCATCAGCACCAACCCGACTCCCAACACGAGGATCTGCGGCAGAGGCCGCGGCCAAGCCGGAGCCATGATTGCCGGTCCCGCGGCAACAGCGGTCTGTTCCCACCACCCGCGGGCCAAGTCTCAGGGCTGGGGCCCCGCCCCCGCCCCCGCCTTCCGGGGCGGAGCCCTTGCCTCTGCCCGCCCTTTGCTTTGCGGTGCCGAGAGAAGGCAGTCCGCTGACGAGCGGTTCATTCAGCACAGTCTCTCCAAATGTCTAGAACGCCCGAGGACGTCTACGCTGCTCCACCCTCTGCGAGCCTTAGTCCGAAGGGCGTGGAGCGGAGAAAATCAGCCACAAACCATAATTGCAAAAACATTTTTTAAGTTCAAATAAGTAATCTGTCTATTATTTTGCCTTTCTGGGGTGGGAACCAGAGGATGGAATACACCAGGCAAGCACTGAGTTATACCCACACAGCCTTTATGTTCGCTTACTTTGTTTGGTTTTGACTTTTTGAGACAGGATCTCATACTGTATCCCAGGCTAGCCTCAAACTCGAAACAATTCTTCTGTCTTAGCCTCCTTCCTAAGTGCCAGGATTGCAGGCAAGCGCCACCATACCCACATTTTCTTTCGTTTGTTTGTTTTTGTGTGTTTTGTTTTGTTAGAAAGAATCTTGCTTTATAACCCAAGCTGGTCTCTGTCTCCGGATTCTCGCGTATCAGTAAACAGTACTGCAAGCATATGCATACTACATTGGGGAGCGGGGGAGTTCCAGACAGGGTTTCTCTGTATTGCTTTGGAGCCTGTCCTGGAACTCTCTGTAGATCAGGCTGGCCTCGAACTCACAGAGATTCTCCTGCTTCTGTCTCCCGAGTGCTGGGATTAAAGGCGTGCGCCACCAACGCCCGGCCTTGCTACATTATTTTTTAAAAGATTTTATTTTTGTGTTCGTGTTCGTGTGTGTGTGTGTGCGCGCGCGCGCGTGCGTGTGTGCGTGTGGCATGTGTATGAGTGTCCCTGGCGTCCAGAAGAGGGCAAAGGATCTCCTAGAAATAGAATTACAGGTGGTTATAAGCTGGGGCAAATAAACCCGGTCACCTGGAAGAGCAGAAAGACTCATAACCGGTGAGCCATCTTTCCAGACCCACACGCTGCTTTCTTAAGGGTCTCGAGGGTATAACAAAAACAACGAGCAGGCAGCGGGTGAGGATGCCTACTGCCAAGGCTGGCAATCTGAGTTCGATCCCCGAGGCTACAGAGTGGAAGACGAGAACCAACTTTCGCTAATAGTCTTCTGACCACAGGTATGCAGTGTGACAGCACCCCCCCCCCCGCCAAAAAAGTAATGTGCCCTTTAGTTTGTACCTTAGGGCTTACATAGGTCTTACATCGGACTTACCTGCAGACTTGTCTCCGTTCGCAAGGGAAGAAACTGGGGTTATGGAAAGTTGAATGAATTCTCAAGTCTCAGCTCAAGTCTCTGAACTCAGCAGGTAGCAGGTGTAGCAGCCGGAGTCCCCAGCAACTAAGGGGTTGAGAAACCGGCTGAGAAACGCACTCTGGCTGATGACCGGGCGGTGGTCTCTGCCCCTCCCAGAGGGAGGTGGTCCAGTGACGTCATTGAGACTTTAAGACCCTTTGCCTCCGCCCTCGTCCCTACTTTCGACTTGGGATTCTTTGCAGTCTCTTTTGCAGGTGAGCCTGGGGCAAGTGTGAATTGCGGGCGTGGAGATTCGCAGGCAGGGAATGTGGCGGGGTGCATGCGGGCGTGTGCAGACACTGGAACTTCGATCCTAGTGGCAGCCACTTGGGTCGGCAAGTCCCTAGGAAAGAAGTAGTTGCAGAGGGCCCGTGAGGCTATCGAGGCCCGGTAGCCCCAGAAAAGTTAAAAAGCCCCTGCCCCTCCCCCTCCCCCGGGACAAAGGCATCGAAACCCGGGACGCCCCTCCTCCACCTGCTTGGCTTCTTTGGGGCGGGACTCCCCTCCCCCTCACCTGCAGGCGCGGACCCAGCTTCGGGCGCCGCCATTAAGCCCCTCCTGGTCGCTCACTCCTAGGCCTAATAATCAACCCGCCCCGGGTGGCCGAGCCGGACACAGCACGCCCTTGGACAAAGCTGAGTGAGCCCTCGGTAAGTGGAGAGGGACAGAGATAAGGAGCGAATGTCTCTCCAGATCTTGACTCTTGTCTCCTGTGTGAGACTGCAAGTGGGAGGAGTCGAAAGGGTCTTTGCCATTCTTAGGTGCAAGGTGCACCCTTAGAATAGAGGGTAATCGGGAGCCACAGCATGGCGCCTAGCAGAACCCACCCCGTTAGTGCCAACTCTGTGAACTGCGACGTGACGACACAGGTGCCGTCTGTCACAGAGGGCACTGGGGTCTTCAGCTCCTTAGGAAGCTGTGTCGAGAGAGGAAAGGTAGCTTGGCCTTTGGTCTAAAACTCGAGAGAAAGGCTCCCATCCTTGAGGGCGTGCACCTTGACCTTTAGAGGTGGAGACTGGACAAGAATCCGCTAGTAGCCTAGAAAATCTGCTTTGGGGCAAAAGGGTTTTGTTTTCCTTGCCTTCCAGGGTGGGCTGGGCCTGAAGGGCCTCTAGCAACTCCCAGGGATTGGAAGGAGATATTTGGAGTGTGGGGGAGGGCTAGGCCTGATATTTCAAGGAATTATATCCACCTGAAATGGAACCTGGAACGGAGCTGGGGGACTCCATTTGAGCTTTGGGTGGTGGGAGGAAGCTTGAAATCTCACCTGAGCGCCGAAGTGATATGGTTGGACCTGAAACTTGTGGCTAGAGCCCAACCATTACCTCGACAGTTCACCTTCTTTGTGGCACTTGGCTCACCTGAAGCTCGTTTGTAGAGGGCTTGCCTGGCATTCATGCAGCCCCGAGTCTGCAATCTCCAGTGCTGCATTCTCTGGGGTAGGTGATGCAGATGGTAAGCCCGCCTGTTAGCCCAGCATCAGAAAGATGGGAGCAGGAGGGTCAGAAGTTTAAGGTCAGCCCCTGCTGCATCGGGAGTTAAAAGCAGTTCAAGCCTGGGCTACGTAAGACCCTGTCTCAAAGTTGGGCGTTGGGGTCACAGGCCTTTAATCCCAGCACTAAGGAGGCAGAGGCAGGTGGATCTCTGTGAGTTCAAGGCCAGCCTGGTCTACAGAGCGAGTTCCAGGACAGTCTCCAAAACAATACAGAGACACCTTGTCTCAGAAAAAAAAAAGAAAAGACCCTGTCTCAAATAAAATAAGTGCACGAGAAAGCATCTGTCCCCGGACTGACCTAGCTTCAGCTCTGTCCTGTTTCCTGTCACCTGAAGAAAAACAACGGGATGTGTGCTTTACCTCTCACAGACTAGGGGAGAATTAAATGCTTATTTTGCTTTTGATTGGCCTAGACAGTGTATCTAGCCCATACTGCAGGACACAGTAGCCAACTGTCAAGGTACCATGTGCTCCTATCACAGCTGGCAAGTCATAGGTCATCAGGGCCCGCCACACTTTAACACTCTTCTGTTTCAATCTTCCCACACTACACAGCCCCCTCGACTTCATCATGGCTTCTACTGGTCTGCAAATCTTGGGGATCGTCCTGACCCTGCTTGGCTGGGTCAATGCCCTGGTGTCCTGCGCTCTGCCCATGTGGAAGGTGACAGCCTTCATCGGCAACAGCATCGTTGTGGCCCAGATGGTATGGGAGGGGCTGTGGATGTCCTGTGTGGTCCAGAGCACTGGCCAGATGCAGTGCAAGGTGTATGACTCACTGCTAGCACTGCCCCAGGACCTACAAGCGGCAAGAGCCCTCTGTGTCATCACTCTCCTCATTGTCCTGCTTGGCCTGCTGGTCTACCTCGCAGGAGCCAAGTGCACTACCTGTGTGGAAGACAAGAATTCCAAGTCTCGACTGGTGCTCATGTCTGGGATCGTCTTTGTTATCTCCGGCATCCTGACCCTCATTCCTGTGTGCTGGACAGCCCACTCCATCATCCAGGATTTCTATAACCCCTTGGTAGCTGATGCTCAAAAGCGGGAGCTGGGGGCCTCCCTCTATCTGGGCTGGGCAGCCTCAGGCCTTTTGCTGCTGGGTGGAGGGCTGCTGTGCTGTGCCTGCTCCTCTGGAGGGTCCCGGGGACCTGGCCATTACATCGCCCGCTATTCTACATCTGCCCCACATTCAGCCTCTCGTGGACCCTCTGAATACCCCACCAAGAATTATGTCTGATGCTCATTGGGAAATGAGGCTCTACTGGCCAGGGGACCTTAGGACCCTGAGCTGAGACATCAAGAAATAATGCCTAGTAGTTTGGTGTTTTTTAGTTCCTTGGTTTTGTTTTGCAGTACTGGGTATTGAACCTGGGGTCCTACACATTTGGTAGGCAAGCACTCTCTACCCATGAGCTATATGATACCCTGCCCCTAGGGTTGAAGTCCAGACTCCATGTACCTCTGCTGTTGGCATTTCTCACTTTTAGATTGAGCATCGGGATGGGTGACACTTTTAGTTTGTCTTTATTCACTCTGGGCATCTTCTGTAGAACCTGTTTTGAGACTGCTTGTGAATCTGATTTTTGTGATCCCCAAGATGACCTGTCCCAAGAGTTCCCAGTCCTGGAAGGTCAAGTGTTAAGTTACCAAAGAATTTTCTACTCCAAAACACCTTTGGCCCCTGCATCCCAATACCAAAGTCACCGTGTACTTCCCCCAAATAAGGTCCCAGCTGTGCTGTAGACCTTCCCCCATTTCTCTATGACCTTGCACATTTCCCTGCCCACACAATGTTTTACTAAATAAAACCTGATTTTTATAATGTGCCTTTGATGTCGCTTGGTGTTTGGTAGGAGCATAACTAGAGGTGGGCAGCAGTTCCACAATTTTAAACCTTTCTGGCTCAGACCCTGTGGTCTAAGCAAGCACCCCCACCCCCATGCCTTTTCACAAATCAGAGGAAGTTCCATTACAATGTGCGTTTATTCCCAGCTCAGGTTGGGGAGTGGGTAGGACACCGAGCAGCTTGGATTCAGGTGGTGGTTGGATTGAACGTGACCATCTGAAGGCTGTTAGGTCACAGTGCACATCTTGCTTTGAAGGTTGGGAGGCTGAAGCTCAGGTTCCTGGGGGTAAGGTAGAGTCTCCACAGAGAGGAGAGTAAGTCAGTTCAGGAATACCTGGGAGGCAGGGATGGGCCAGGGTATGCAATAGCTTTGGCGCTTTCTCAAGGTTGCAACCGCTGCAAATGGTTGCCTCAGGACAAACCAGCTGAGATTCCCCCAGAGCCAGGTCCTGACCAAACAGAGAAGTGAGCTTCCCTGGCACACGAGGTTGATGAAGGGATGCAAGGGTTCGGCCCAGTGCCTGGGCATAAAGCTGCAGGTTTGAGCTTCTGGAGGAAGCCTCGGCCTCACACGTAGTCCCTCTTATCCAGTCCTGAAGCACCTGAACGGGAAGGGATGGAGTAGCCCAGCCTGGGTCCACGGGGCCGCTCGAAATGGGATGGGGGACACGTACAGCAGAGGAGCCCTCCGCCCAGCATGAGCAGTGCAGCTGCTGCCCAGCCCAGGTAGAGGGAGGCTCCCAGTTCTCTCTTGAGGGCTTCAGCCACCAGCGGGTTATAGAAATCCTGGATGATGGCATGGGCTGTCCAGCAGACGGGAATGAGCACTAGGATGCCCGAGAGGAGGAGAAGGACCCCTGCAGTGAGCACAATTCGGGCCTTGGCACCTTCATCCTCCACACATGTGGTGCACTGGGCACCCGTGATAGCCACCAGCAGGCCCAGCAAAGCCAGCAGAAGGGCAACAACACAGAGGGCTCTGGCAGCCTGCAGATCCTGGGGCAGTGCCAGCAGTGAGTCGTACACCTTGCACTGCATCTGGCCAGTGCTCTGGACCACACAGGACATCCACAGCCCCTCCCATACCACCTGGGCCACAACGATGCTGTTGCCGATGAAGGCTGTCACCTTCCACAGAGGCAGGGCACAGGATACCAGGGTCCCTAGCCAGCCTAGCACTGCCAGGGTCATGCCAAGGAGTTCAAGGCCAGTTGAAGCCATCTGCTCCTCAGGTCTTCTCAGCTCTTAGCCTGAATCACGCACTTAACAGAGTTGGGAGCACAGAGTTCGGGGTGGGTCTCAATGCTCAGGAGGTGGATCTCAGGCCTGGAGAGACCGCAAGTCTGCAGGCCTCACTGATACTCACTGAATACAAAAAAGTCCTTAGGTGCTGCTCAAGGGGATCGCTTGTGTCCTCTGGGAAGCCTTTGGCCCATCACAGACCCTCCAAACCTGCCATGGAGTTGGAAGAGCCGTGTTCCTCTCTGCTGGCTGCTCCCGTCCTTTCTTGGTTGAAGTCCTCTCAGTTGGTATACAGCTTGTCTCAAAACAGAACTGTGAGGTGCCACCTGGGGCGTCTGAGGCTGCTGGCTGCAGGCGGGGTTTTAAGGCCTAGGGCAGGGGAGGAGCCCAGCAAGGGACCTGGAGGCTGCCATTGGGTAGCAGAAACAGAGCAATGGTGAAAAGGGGTAGGATGGGGGCCCTCGGGGTTAGGGTAGGGTGCCAAGACCAAGTGGAAACCCAGGAACAAAGGGATTCCAGGAAGACAGGACAAACAGAAAAGGAACAGAGAAATGGGCTACTGAGCTCTCAGCCTGGGCCTGCTTCCACTTTAACACCTGTCTAATTCACTCTGTGACGGTGGGGAAAATATGCCCCCATTATCCATCATCATAACCCTCTCCCCCTCCCCCACCCTCTCAGGACTCTCCGGAATCTGATCTGTCTCCAGTCTCAGCTCAATAACCCTGGCAGCTCCTAGGGGAGAGGCTCCGCCTACAGTTTCCCAGACAACAGGTGCCTGGCGCCCAGCTCAGGTGGCATTACCAAGGCAACGGCCTAGAAAACGACTCCCCCCACCAACACACACATAGGCACACACTTCCACCTCAGCTCAGGTGTTCCCACTCCACCCCCATGGCCGAAACTAGGGGCCCGAGCTGAGCTGTTGAAGGTCCCTAGTGGCCTGGTGATAAAGAGCCTGTTGTTGAGACAGGAAGGAGGAGGCCTGGGCCAAGAAGGGACAAGGGGGACCCTGAGATAGGGGGACCCTGAGATAGCGTGCTCTTTTTGATAGTCACGTGAATAGCCAGAGCGGCCTGGACACCACAGAGGTGGGCAAGGGGGTAAGGGTCAGAGGATTAAAATGACCCTGAGCCCCAACTTCCGGTTCCTTAGAGTCTCTATTCACAGGGTGCTGCCTGATTTCAGCTCAAAACCTGATCCTACCAGCTCAGGAGGCACAGGCAGGCAGATCTCTGTGAGTTCCATGCCAGTCAGGGCTATGAAGAAACCCTGTCAATCAATCAATCAATCAATCAATCAATCAATCAATCAATCAATGCCTTAGGAGTTCTTAGCCTCCAGGAAGGGATTGTTCATAACTTCCATGATTGCTCTGAAATATGCATATATTGGCAGAACTGTGTCCCATGTGGAATGCAGGCTCTTTAAGTTTTCTCAATTGAGCCTCTAGTAGGAAGAGGTTAAAACACCTCTTCCTCCCTGATCACCCTGCCCAGCTTCTGAAAACTATCTAAAAAAAAAAAAAAAAAGGACTCCGTCAGAGGCCAGGCCAGCATCCCCAACCCCAGGTGTTTTGCCTGCATGTATATCTGTACAATACATGTTCTTTTTTTTTTTTTTTTTTTTTTTTTGGTTTTTCGAGACAGGGTTTCTCTGTGGCTTTGGAGGCTGTCCTGGAACTTGCTTGGTAGTCCAGGCTGTCCACAGAGATCCACCTGCCTCTGCCTCCCGAGTGCTGGGATTAAAGGCGTGCGCCACCAACGCCCGGCTACAATACATGTTCTTAATGCCTGCAGAGACCAGAAGAGAGCATTAGATTCCCTGCAACTAGCATTACAGGTGGTTGAGAGCCACCATGTGGGTACTGAGAATCAAACCTGGGACTTCTAGAAGAACAGCTAGTGCTCTGAACCACTGAACAATCTCTCCAGCCCCAGTGGTGGTACACGCCTTTATGCCAGCATGATCTACAAAGCTAGTTCCAGGACAGAAACCCAGTCTCAAAAAAAAAAAAAAAAGAAAAAAGAAAAAAAAAAAACCTCCTAAAGGAAAAGGAGGCCTGGTGTGGTACACCACCATGTCCAGCTTTTCTTTTCTTTTTTAAAAAGACAGGGTTTTACTATACAACCCCTGTCACCTGAGAATGCTTACTCTGGTATTAAAGGCATGAGCTACCACTGCCCATGTAAAGCTTTTTTTTTCTTTTTCTTAACTTACTATGTATGTATGAGTCACTGTGTGTGTGTGTGTGTGTGTGTGTGTGCGCGCGCGCGCACATGTGTAAGGATAACATGCAGGCCAGGCAGTGGTGGTGCAGCACTTGGGAGGCAGAGGCAGGCGGATCTCTGTGAGTTCAAGGCTAGCCTGGTCTATAGAGCGAGTGCCAGGACAGCCAGGGCTACAGAGTGAAACCCCGTCTTGAAAAACCAAAAACCAAAAAAGAAAAAGGGTAACATGCAGGAGTCTAGTCAGTTCTCTATCATCTGGGACATAAAAATGGAACTCTGGTACTGATGTTTGGTAGCAAGAACCTTTTACCAGCTGAGTCATCTCAATGCTCCACATCTATGAAGGTGGTATTAGAATCCAGGGGTATGGTGTACTCATCATTTCTAGGTATAGATTTTAGCACTCTTGTAATTTTAAAAACACCTTGAAGAGAAATCATAGTTGGTTTATTGGAAGAGAGAGAAGAGGCAGAGAGGGAGGCAGAGACTGGTCTCTGGGGACAAGAGTGGTGGAAGGGAGAGAGAGAGAGAGAAAAAAAAGAAAGATGGGAGATGGGCAGGGCCCCTTTAAAAGGGAAGACAGTGAATGCGCACAGGTGATGCTCTTAGTGGCTGCAGCTGAGGGTGTCCTGTCGGAACCCCAAGGGCAGATGCCTAACTACTTCTTTCAAAAGGAAAGTTTGCTCTTCCACCAAATAAATAGATGGAAGCCATCACCTAGTATAAAAAGTGGGATGGGACCCCTACCTCTCCCGGATGACTCCAGGGTATTAGACGTTCTTATCTGCCCTGTGTGGTGGTACCTGCCTTTAATCCCAGCACTTCTGAGGCAGAGGAAGGTGAATCTCTGAGTTGAAGGCCAGCCTGGTCTACAGAGTGGGTTCCAGGACAGCCAAGGCTACACAGAAAAACCCTGTCTCAAAAACCAAAAAGAAACAAATTTTTCCTTGACTTTGGGGGAGGAGTATCGTGGTATGGGCATACATGAGTGCAGGTACCTGCAGAAGCCAGAGGCATCAGATCCCTGGGATGGAGTTACAGGTAGTTGTGAGCCAGTCAACATGCATGCTGGGAACAGAACTCTGGTTCTCTGAAAGAGCAGTATCCACTCAGAACTCTTTCCAGCCTTCAAGCTGATACAGTCTTGCTAAATGTTTACTCATTTGTGTGTACTGTGTGTCACTGCAGGCGTGAGGTCAGAGGACAACTTGCAGTAGTTGGTGCTACTCTCCATCCTCTACGTGGGGCCCAAGAATCAGACTCAGATTATCAAGCTTGTTGGCAAGTACATTTTTACACACTGACTCATTCTGATGGTCAATGCAGATGGCGTTTCGGCAGTTTCCAAGTCAGAACTAGGAGCTTCTTCAGATCAGTACTTTGCTGATGGGGTCAGATCTGTCCAGTTCATCTGCCTCCTGGGGCATGGATTTCACGGCATGTTAGGAGGGAGTGACTGCTAAGAAGGGCCAATAGAGCCCAGGCTGCCTGGAGGGGCCTCCAGGAATCTGGTCACGCAGGTTAGGTTAGGTGCTAAGACTGGGGCAAGCCTGGGTCTAGGGGCCATCAACTCCACCCTCTGCAGCCCCAAGCCTGGAGTGCCTTCCCCAGGAGCTGATAGAGCCCACTGCCTTTGGGTGTTGAAGGCCAACTCTCCCTGGCTGGCCCTGAATATTTTGAGTTTGGAGGACTGTGTCCTGCATCCAAGATTGGGAGAGCTGGTTAACCTGTGGAAAGCTTTTCCAGGTAGCCCACCATTGCTACAGATAGCTCTATACCTCCCAACACCCTCCCCCCCCCCCCCCCCCCCGCACAGCTGTGTGTGGCAGCACACAACTCAGTAGGGTTAGCATTGTCACCTGGCTGGTGGCTGTGCAAGCCTGTGGCAGACAGATGTCTGTGAGTTCAAGGCCAGCCTGGTCCCTGGACAGCCAGTACTGTTACACAGAGACACTCTTGTCTTGAAAACAAGCAAAAACAAAACAACAAAAAAGAAAAGAATCAAGGAACAGTAAGTTTCCTCAGGGGGCAGAGGCCAAAAGTCCCCAATTCCTCTGTGACCCCAAAGTGTGGGTGCTCCCTATCCTCTGCCTAGGAGCATAGCAGGAAGCACCCACACTGCCATGAACTCAACAGCCACAGGGAGTGGTTTGCAACCAGTGACCAACTGTGCTTTAACTGGCCCTCAAGTGGCTCAGGCGGCAAGGCTCCTGCTTTTTCATATGAGCTCCACTCAGATCTGGGGGGAGAGTAAATGTGAGGAGGAACCCCCACACCATTCCAGAAGCCTGAAGGACTGGGCACTGCTCTTTAGGGCACTCTAGACCAGGCTGCAAAAACTTGCTTACAAGGAAGCCCTAGACTTTCCTGGAGGCTACCTGGGTGGTCCTGGATTTCCATTAGGTTATCTTCTTGGGAAAAAAAAGGGTTAAAGTCTGGACTTGTTTTATCATTGATATGGAGAGGTAGGGCACCCCTGATCAGTTACCATCTCAATGAGACTTTAACAAGTCCTCCAGAATCCCCACCCCCCCCCACCTCTGCCGACTCGGAAGGATGTGAGGAATTTTCCCCAATGCTCTACTAACTGCTAGAGGAAACAGAGGTGTGCCCCACCAACTAAAGTAACTAAACAACATTCTTTGTCTGGGCTGAGTGTATCAGAGGCTAGTAGGCTCTGGAGGGCAGTACAAACCAGGATTGAATTTACATGAATGTGGCCTAAATGGGCTAATTTACTCTTCTCAAAGGGGACCTTAGGCTACAACCCTTATCGCGTCTAAGAGCCTGAGGGTCCACCTGGCTTTATAGGCAAAGGAGCCAGTTCCCTAGCTCTGAACCTTCAATGACTGAGTGGTAAAGACTGAAGATCCCTGTAATTCTCTGCAGCTCACTAATCACTTACTACAAATAGGAAACACACCCAGAGCACTAAAAAGCTAGGCTGTGTATACACACAGGCAACTGAAGGGCCTGAAGCAAAGACCCTGATGTCTAAGTCAGCTGCTCTCTCAGCAGGTCAGGCCAGCCGGCCTCTGAGAACCCATCTGTCAGCAGGAGGTGGTGGACTATAAGGCAGCTCCTTTCCCCTGCTGAGCCTTCCTTATATTCCCCGGAGAGGTGCCTAAGACAGAACCTCCGTCTCAAACGCATGTGTGTGCATGTATATATGTACTTGATTTTGTGGGGAAGCCACAGGCTCAGTGTTTGGATCCCTAGTGTGGAAAGCCTTCAAGAGCAGCAGCCCAGGCTCCCATCCCCCGAGAGGTCTCAGACAAAGGTATTCTGTCAAGAGCATAAAGGTAGTTTCACTTGTACACCTGGATAGGTCACAACCATGGACTGGGTAACAATTAACTTTATTATCAGTTTTGATCAGCTTTTAACCCAAAGCAGTAGATGGTTCTCAAGCTTGGCTAGCCCGTCTCACAGAAGAGTTATACCCCCACCCCACACCCCCGCCCCATCTCCAAGTCAGGGTTTCTCTGTGTAAGTACTCTGGCTGTCCCGGATGGGAGCTCACTTTGTGGACCAGGGTGGAACTCAACAGAGATCCGAGCACTTCTGCTTCCCGAGTGCTTGGCGGCTGTGTGCCACTAGTGGCAGGCCACAAGAGTTATCTTTAAAAGATACATTCACTGTCCCTCCTGATACTTTTTGCTTCCAAGCTGAGAGAAGAGAGCTGGGCAGCATGAGAATGGGAAGGCAGCAAGCTGAGGAACACAAGGAAGCAGAGAGACAGTCGCTATGGAAAACAGGCACACTGTCTTCCTGTACCAGTGTTAGTCTGCTGACCACAGGCTCTCAGACCACTCAAGGCCCCCAAGCCAGTATAGGAGAGGGCTTAGTTAAGTTCTGGGAAGATGGATAGGAAGGTGGGTCACGGCCTAAGCCAGGCTTGGTAGCACAATCCTGCTATGCAGCTACTTGGGTAGCAGAAGCAGTCAGAATCCAAGTTCAAAGGTAGCCTGGACTACAGAGATGGCTGAGCTTATATGAGCTGGATGGCAATGGAACTTGGGAGTATGACCTCATGCGATAAAAGTGTCTTTTGGTTGTTTATTTATTTATTTATTTATTTATTTATTGGTTTTTCAAGACAAGGTTTCTCTGTGGCTTTGGAGGCTGTCCTGGAACTCGCTTGGTAGTCCAGGCTGGTCTCGAACTCACAGAGATCCGCCTGCCTCTGCCTCCCAAGTGCTGGGATTAAAGGCGTGTGCCACCAACGCCCGGCTTGGTTGTTTCTTGAAAGGTCTCGTGTTATAGTTCTGGCTAGCCTGAAACTCATTCTGTAGACTAGGCTGGCCTCCAACTCAGAAATCTGCCTCTGCCTCCCAAGTGCTCTGTTAAAGGCATGTGCTACCACCATATCTTTTTTTTTTTTTTTTTTTTTTTTTTTGGTTTTATGAGACAGGGTTTCTCTGTATCGTTTTGGAGGCTGTCGGTCCAGCCTGGCACCACCATATCTTACTGATAAAAGTATCTTTGCAAGCATGATTCAATGAATGATCTCAATAGGAAGTCAACGATAGATGTCCTTAGAAGCTGAGGCAAAGAAAGTCCTTTCCTGGCACCCGAGGACCAGCAAGGCCCTGCTGAAGCAAGGCAAAGAGACAGACCTGGTCTCCAGCTGCCTTTGACACGGCCAGTCCTTCTTTAGGCCTCTGGCCACCAGCACTGTTAAGAGAACAAATTCCTATTGTTTCAGGCCACTTAGTTTGCATAGCTCCTTTCTGCCACCACGGGAACCTAGTAAACTAATTGATCTTCTTGCTGATGGACCTGGGCTCTCAGAGGTCCTCCAAGGTCAAGGCTGGCTTCCTGATACCGCTCTGAGTGATGGAAGAGGTCTGCCATCCACTTGGTTACCTGAGCCCAGGCTACCTGTGGAACAAAGAGAACTTTATATTAAGTTGTACCGGCTGCACAGAAACCAGTGTGGGAGTGAGAGGCCTGAAAATCGGGAGAGAGGAGTTTTTATCCAGGACTCCACCTGGAGCTCCCTTCTCCCTATGCTGATGACGTCACAGCCCTGCCCGTGATTGTCCTACTCAGTTTCAATCGTCCGTCACCACCACTTGGGGGCAGGGGGACCCTCGGATCTATTTCAGTCAGAAGTTTGACTCATAAGACTTGGGAGTTTCCAAAGGTAAGTGAGGAAGGCCTTAGCCTTACACACACACCCTGGATAAGGGACAGGTGCCATTCTGGAACCTGGCTGCAGCATCTGAAATGTTTGTTTTCAAAGCCCAACTTGGTAGCTCCGGACTATTAAACCTGCTGACAGGATAACTCTATTGCTGAGTTCAAAAGCAGCCAGCACTGCATTGCAAAGGGGTCTAGTCTCAAAAAACCAAAACAAGCAAAAGAATCAAACTTTTGTTGTCATCCTTTTGACCTGGGTTTCTTTCATGTGTGTGCGTGCTGTGGGTAGGTGGGTAGGCTAGTTTTATCAACACTTAGATGTGTTACATTCTCAAATATCCCACAGAGACACCGCAAGACTGGAGGCTGGGGGAAGAGGCGACAAAAGTCCCTAATTTTATTTTAAGTGTTTTGAGACAGCGTCTCACTAAGTAACAAAGGTTGACCTTTAACTCGTGACCCCCCCTCCCGCTTAAGTATCGTTAGTGTTGGGGTTACAGGGGTGTGTCACCAGCCCCAGCTTAAGTCCCTTATCTTAAACTGAAGTTTACTTCATTCTTCCCGAGCCTTGGCTGCAGTCCCGTCACTCTTCTTTCTTCCCCAGCAGAGGTCTGGCCCGACCTTCCGAAACTGCAGTGTCCAGGCACGGACTCACCCGCTTGTAGCCTAGCGGAGTCAGGTGATCAGCAGGGTGGCGACAGGAAGAAGTAGGGCGGCGGGGGCTGGGGGGGCGGCAGCGGCGGGGGAAAGACCGGGAGCGGCCAGGGCTCACGGGGTAGCGGCGGCGCCAGCAGGGTGAAGGGTGAGGGCCGCGTTGGCAGCGGTGGCAGCGGCTGCGGGGGGAGGTTCGGCGAGCAGCGGGGGCCGGCCCCGAGCGCCCACGGGCCCCGGGATGGCCGCGATAGCGGCCTCGGGAAGCGGCGGCAGCGGCAGGTGTGCAGGCGGTGGCGCGGGCGCGGGCAGGCGCGGCAGGTCCTGCAGGGCGAGCGCGGCTGCGGGAGGCGCGGGCGCGCAGACCTCGGGCGGCAGCTCCGGCAGCGCCAGGTGGACCCCAGGGCCCCAGGGCGCCAGCAGCTCCGGGCGCAGCGGGAGTGCGGGCAGCGGCGGCAGCTCAGCTAGAGCGAGAGCCGAGGGTGGCGGTGGTGCTGAGCTCAAGCCCGGAGGCAAGCCGGGCAGCGGAGGGTGCGGCAGGGACGATGCGGGCGGTGGGGTGGGCGGCAGGGACGCACGGGCCCGGCTCAGCCGAGAGTGCACGCGGCCGCGGTCGCGCCGCGGGTGCGAACGGGAGCGGGGCCACCGCGCCGCCAGCTTGGCCGCCGCCGCCACCCCGGAGACCAGTGCACGATGCCCACAACCCGTGAGCCAGGGCTACGAACCCGCTGAGGTCCGCCCAGCCAATTGGAGTCGTCGGCAATGCGTTCCAGCCAAACACAAGCTGGTGCGCTTACTGCCTGGGCACCCCGACCAATTACCGTGTCCCGCGGTGCCTCCTTTGCCTCCCGCTATCCTTCAAGGCGCATACGTGCCCAGGACGCCCCCTCCTGGTCCGATGGTGCTGAGAGAGGCTGAATCTCCCGGGCCATGCCCCAACAGTATAAAATGTGTCACAGCAATTGTTGCTATTTATCAATGTGACTCTGGAGTAATGCATATTTTCATTATATCTTCTTTTTTGAGACGTAGCTCAGAATGGCGTCCTATTCGTGATCCCCCTACTTTTGGGTTAACAGACCACGATCCACTCATTCCAGTTATAGAAGGAATATCATAATTCCAAAAACAAAGTTTTGGACTGTGAGATGACTTAGTGGGTAAAGCTAGTTGTCTCCAAGCCTGACGTCTTCAATCCGGAGACTCACATAGTGGAAGGAAAGGAACAATTCCTATTAACTGTCCTCGAACAGCCAAACTCATGGCAGGAACACACACACACACACACACACACGCAAGCACACACTTACTTGAGCACACAAAATAAAGAAAAGTACTCTTACTCAGTGTTCTGTGTGGAATATGCAGCTCAGTTGGTAGAGTGCTTCTGCAGCATGTATGGGCCCCTGAGTCGTCTTCAGCCCCACTTATATAAGTCAGATGTAATGTCTCTAATATCAGAGCTCAGGGGAGATGGAGGCAGGAGGATCAGAAGATGCTCAAGGTCATCCTCAAGGCTAGTCTGAGCTAGATGAGAGGGGCAGGGGGCTGGTGGTAATGCAAAGTATATATGTTAAAATTCCCAATAATCGTGAATGACAAACAGTTGGGATTTTGGAAAATAAATAAATAAATAATGACTCAAGCCTGTAATATACTTCTAGCATTCGGGAGGTTGCTGAAGGAGGGTCAGGAGATCAAGGCCAGACTCAGCTAGTTTCAGGCTACCTTGGGCTTCCTGGCACTCTGCCTCAAAAAGAAATGAGACAACAAAAGGAAGAGAAAAAAGAATAAAGGGTCTGGAGAGATGCCTCAGAGGTTAAGACCTCTCACGGAGGTCCTGAGTTCAATTCCCAGCAAACATATGGTGGTGGCTCACAACCATCTGTAATGAGATCTGGTGCCCTCTTCTGTCATGCAGGCATACATGCCAGCAGAACACTGTATACATTATAAATAAATATTTTTTAAAGAGGAGGAAAAGGGTCAAGCTCTTCAACATTGGTATTGGAGGACACTTGATCGATGGACCAGTGGCTAGGAGCATTTGTTTCTCTTGCAGAGGACCAGGGTTTGATTCCCAGCACCTACAGGGTGTCTCATAATCCCTATAACTTCAGTTCTAGGAGATCAAGTACCCTCCTCCAACATACACACATGGGCAGAACATTCAACATTCTCTTAAACATTAAGAGAAATTTGGATGCCAGGCAGTAGTGTTGCACACCTTTAATCCCAGTACTTGGAGTCAGAGGCAGGGAAATCTCTGTGAGTTCAAGGACAACCTGATCTACAAATCCAATTCCAGAACAGGACTCCATCTCCAGCATGGGGATATGGGGTGTCATCTGTTTTCCTCACTGAGGACTGCCACTAGGAGTAGGTGGTGTTGGTTCACCGTAAGGAGAAAAGCCTTGTGAAGTAGAAGACACAGTGTGATGAGAGGAGGATCTGGGAGATAATTATTTGAGGTTGTGGTCAATTTCTTTCTTTCCCTTTTGGTTTTTCCATACAGTGTTTCTCTGTGTAACAGCCCTGGCTGTCCTGGAACTAGCTCTGTAGATAGGTTGGTCTGGAACTCACAGAGATCCCCCTGCCTCTGCCTCCCGAGTGCTGGAATTAAAGGTGTGCGACACTACTGCCCAGCTAGGGCTCAATTTCTTAACCTCCATGCTGAACCCTTCCTTGGAGACCAGTGTGTCCACATTTGCAGCTCCAAGAGGTAGAAATGAAGATACCCAGAAGCATGAGCGAACATGGGATGAGGATGACTGACTTTAAGAAATATTTTTGCTGGGCGGTGGTGGCACACGCCTTTAATCCCAGCACTCGGGAAGCAGAGGCAGGGGGATCTCTGTGAGTTCGAGACCAGCCTGGTCTACAAGAGCTAGTTCCAGGACAGCCTCCAAAGCCACAGAGAAACCCTGTCTCTAAAAACCAAAAAAAAATTTTTTTAATTAGGAAGTGTTCTGTAATTTGGAAGAATAAGGTTTCCAAGAAGCCTTAACTGCTTACGAAGGTGTTGTTTGTAGGATCTGTGCCTTTTCAGCATTTAGAAATCAATGGACTCAACTAGAAGGTATTTTTCACTGAGGAGATTTTTATTTAGTTGGTTTTTTATTCTGGGATGTGAATCCACACTTGTACTCTGTGACTGAGCTATATCCCTGGTCCCTGGTATTTGTAATTGTTTGAGATGTCTAATTTAGTTCATCAAGTTTGTAGGCCATCCTAATATCTTATTTGTCATTTAATTGAACATTAATCAAATAATGTGAAAGTAAATTCTATATCTAAATTATGAGTTCAGTGACATCTGACCATAAGGGAAAAATACTTTTGAGCCTCTAATCCCACCACTTGGGAAATGGAAGCAGGAAGATCAGGAGTTTCAAACAAGCCTCAGCTACAGAGAACATTAGAGGCCAGCCTCTAGCTTATGTAACCCGGTTACATAAGATCCTGTCTCAGAAAGGCTGGTGAAATGGCCTGGCAGGCAAAAGTGCTCTCCACATAAGCCTGACATGAAACCTGACTTTAAGGCCCGGAACCCACAGTTGTTGCCTGGCTTCTGCTCTGATATGCATGTGCACAACATCACACACAAACCTTACGCATACAGAACAATAGTAAATTAAATTGAACTAGAAAATAGGAGATTTTTATTTTTAAATTTTAATTTTTGTTTTGTTTTTTGAGACAGGGTTTCTCTATAGCTTTGGAGGCTGTCCTGGAACTAGCTCTTGTAGACCAGGCTGGTCTCGAACTCACAGAGATCCACCTGCCTCTGCCTCCCGAGTGCTGGGATTAAAGGCGTGCGCCACCAACACCCAGCTGCCTGGCTTAAATTTTAATTATTATATGTGCCTGGGTTTTTTGCTTGCATGTATGTCTGTATACGATGTGCATTCAGTGTCCTTGGAGGCCAGCAGAGGGAGGCAGATCCCCTGGGATTACAGTGAGTGCTAGGAATTGAGCTCTGGTCCTCTAGAAAAGCAAGTGCTCTGAACCACTGGGTCATCGATGTGTCTACACCCCAGCTTTATTTTTGAGATAGGGTCACACTGTGTAGCCTGTGCTTGACCTTGAACTCTGAGTTCTCCTGCCTCAGCTTCTTGATCTTCTGCTTCCACCTTTCAAGGTTAGAGTAGAGCCATCCCACCCATCTTCTTCAACAACTTTAGTGAATGATGACAAATTAAAGCAAGTTCTAAAATGTTCCTTTGCATGGTAAACACTCCCTAGATCCCAGACCCCCAGGATCCTATTTAAAGGCAGTCTTTCTTTCCCAGTGTTTGAGGTCAAACCCAGGTCTTGAGCTTGCCAAAGACCCCTAAATGGACCAGGACCAGTCCCCTCTTTGGGGACATGTTTTGGGTCTATTTTTGTTGTCATGTCTTTCATTTGGAATACAGAGTCTGACAAAGCCACTTTGTCATTTGATGAGTGAGTAAATGAAGCAGGATGTGTCACCTTCACTGAAGTCAGCATGGCACACAGAGGCCACTAAGGGATAATATGGCTTTATTAATACTTCAGCCCAGAGGACACCACAGGCAGCGCAGTGCCCTGGGCCAGTCTTCAGATCCCCCTGCTGTGCTCCTCCAACCAGGCTCTAATGCAGAGACCCTCAGGGTGGGCAGGGGACAGGCTCCATGCTCAGCAGTGTCCTGGGGAGAGACAGAACAGTGTCTAGGGCACTGGTGATGTCTCTGAGATCATCACTCAGCATTCTAAGGGCCAGGGAGCCTGCTCTCCCTGCCAAGGACTGGGGGACAGCTGGAGGGATGACAGTGGTGGCCTCTGAGTGGAGCCTGTGGGTCACCACGACTCCTCTTACCTCAGGAGCCATTTACCAGCTGTCTCTTGGCATCTGCTTCACTAAAGGCTCCCCTGCAACACAGACCACAAGACACGTGGGACACCAGGGGACTTCTGCCACACAGCTCCTTTTCCCCCGGCTTGTAAAGAGGCTCACTCACCAAAATGGTCCAGCCCCAGCTCTGGCCTCAGCTGACCATAGGGCCCTGGGAAAAAAGGGTTAGGGGCGCTAACCTACACAGCCCTGTGTCCCCTTCTTTTCCTCCCAATCTCAGTAGAGCACGCGGGCTGGGCTCAGGGCCTCCCCTTAGTGATGTTTTCCTTTTCAGTCGCTCGGGTACCCGCATGCCATTCCCTCAGCCTTCCCTACACACTGCTATGGGTTAGGCCTGGATTCAGGACCCTGACACTGCCCACCCACCCTCACCCACACCCCATTTACCTGCCTGGTTCCCCACGCCTGCATATCCATATCCTGGCTTCATTCCAGCCCCCCAGGGCTGGAGGGCCAGCCAGGGGGAGCCCTGCAGGGCCCCAGCTTGACCTGCAGGAGGAGAACTAGTGTGGGTACACTGTCCCCCAGAACTGGGCATTCAGGAGGCCCCAGTCCTTCTGAACTTTGGAACCCTCTTGACCACCCTTGCTGGATTATCATCATCATCATCATCATTATTAATATTATTATCATTATTATTATTTTACCATTTCTCTCTAGGGTTAGAACTGTTGCTTTAGGGTACAGAAGAGTCTCCTCCCTGAGTCCTGCAAGAGATCAATTATTTATCCCCATCCAGCTCCTGGCTACAGCCCATTCTCTTCCTCACTGTATCTGGTACTCTGGGTTCAACTTACCATTCCTAAAACCATTGTTTATGGGGAACACTGGAAGATGAAAGAGAAAGTTTAGTGGTAAGTCTAGCTTCCTGTCTCATGGCCCAGCCTTCACCCCCAGCCCCTCCCCATACTTGACTGTAGTGTCTCTGGGAAAACTCCAGCTTCCAGAGCTCCATTCCCATAATGGAAACCTGTATGAGAGAAATTGGAGCAGAGAAGGCCAGGGCAGGGCAGCCATATAGCCACCACTTGGGGAGGGGAGGAGTTATAGAAAAGACCAACTCAGATTACTAAAACAGAGCCCCGCCCTCACCCCAGCCTTGGTGGTGCAGCCATGTAATCTCAGCTACATGGGAATCTGAGAGCCAACATCTCAAGGTCTGCCTGGGCTACACAAGACTCTGTCTCAAAACAGGAAGGAGAAGGCTGATGAGATGGCTCGTGTGTGAGCCTGGTGAACTGACTTTGATTCCTAGAAGCCACATAAAGGTGGAAAGAAAGGACTCCATGAAACTGTCCTCTGATGATGGACAGTGGTGGCACATGCCTTTAATCCCACCACTCGGAGGCAGAGTCAAGCGGATCTCTGTGAGTTCGAGGCCAGCCTGGTCTACAGCGTGAGTTCCAGGACAACCTCCAAAGCAGTACAGAGAAACCCTGTCTCGAAAAACTAAAAATAAATAAATAGAAAGTGAAAAGCTGTGGTGTTGGCTGCTCCATCCCCCTGGCTCACTCTTCCACCTCCTCGTCCAGCTAACCCCAGTTCTGTTTTCTTGCTGCTTCCTCCGGGAAGGCTTCCCAGACTTTCCTTCTGGTCAACTTCTAAAGCTGCTGTCTTCCGACTGTCACTGTACCTTCACCTCAGGCAGGGTCACAACTGGCACTGGCCACAGTTGTGGAAGCGTGTGAAGGTGGGGTTTGAATGAGTCCACAAGATCACAACCTAAAAGTTCGAGCTAGCCCCTCCTCTTCTTTATAAGGGGTCACCTCTGCACACCTAAAGCCAAGTCTGTAGGATGTGGCCACCATCACAATTCACTGGCAAAGCAATGCCACTACAGGAGTGGATGTTGGGTGATTAAGAAATAGAACAGTGGCCGGGCGTTGGTGGTGCACGCCTTTCATCACAGCACTCGGGAGGCAGAGGCAGGCGGATCTCTGTGAGTTTGAGGCCAGCCTGGTCTACAGAGCTAGTTCCAGGACAGCCTCCAAAGCTACACAGGGAAACCCTGTCTCGGAAAAAAAAAAAAAAAAAAAAGAAGCAGAACAGTGATGGCACGTGCCTGTAATCCTAGCACTCTAGAGGCAGAGGGACAGAGGCAGGCAGACCTCTATGAATTTCAGGCCAGCCTTGTCTACATAGTGAGATTCTATCTTAAAGGTGGGGATGGAGAGAGGGAAGGAGGGAGGTAGGGAGGGGGTAGGGAGGGACAGGGACAGGGAAGGGAGAGAGAGAGACAAGAGATATAGGAATAGAGAGTCTGGCCATGAGATAGATTTGCTGTGCATAGGATGGGCATTTAGAGAGGCTCACCAACTTTCTGCAGCTTGAAGCCACCATGGAAGCCTAAGGGAGAGGAAACTGGGTCAGAAATGACCCTGGCCTTTCCCTCCCCTCTTCTGGAGGTGGAACACAGAAGAAGGAGATGGAGGCAGGGAAGGGGAGGGAAAACATCCTTCTCACCCAGTTCTGCTTCAGCTCCATAGCGGTTGGAGGGCTGGTGACCTGTGAAAAGGTGGGGTCAGTGATGGAGGGTGGGGACTTTGCAGATCTCCTAGGGGCCACATATTGACCTAAGGAACCTTGGGGGAAGAAGCAGGAACTGGCCCTGTTTACATGGAATAGAACCAAAGGAAGATCTGAGAGAGCAACAAGAGTTTGAGGGTAGACTGTGGGAGGGTCTTCCAGGCCTTAGGTTACCTGAGGCAGCTTTCGAACAAGGGTAATGGAGGACTTGATACCCAAGAGAGGCAGGAATAGAGAAGTAGAGGATTTGTCCCTCTGAGATTCAGGACTTGACACCCAAGAGAGGCAGGAATAGAGAAGTAGAGGGTTTGTCCCTCTGAGATTCAGGACTTGGAATCAGATCGCACCTGCTTTCTGAGGCTTCAGTCCCCACTGAATGGCCGGGGTTGGTGCTAGAATGAGGGACACCGAAATGAGCCCTCACAGGGTCTCTCTGAGGATATGACATCAGAAAGTGCAGCCAGGGCCAGCCCCTCTCAGAGCCACAGACCTCCTGGCACCTCCCTACCCCCAGGCTCCACACTGACCTGGGGATTTAGCATTTTGCACTGGGGGCAAGAGCTGGGATTTCAGGCCCCAGGCACCTCCTTTATCTGAAGGGACTCCTGGAGTGGGAGACCCGGGGAGGAGCTGTGGTGGGACAAGCCCACCATTGCAGGGACCTAGATTAGGAGGAGAGGTAAAGCGTGAGGGGCTGGCTCCAGGTGGTGGCTCACCTACGCCACTCAGGACACCTGAGCCAGGACAAGCCACGGTTTGCAGTGGCTTCCAGGAGGCACAGCACTCCCAGGAGACCTCTACTAGGCGAGACAGCCCAGTTCTGTGGGCCACACTGATCAGGGGGATAAGGTAGCTCAGACAGGCAAAGGACTCTTGCTATTGACACACCCAACCCCTCTGCCTCCCTGTCATGCCCTCTGACCCCTCTCCTAACCTGTCTGGGAACTTACCTGGCGGCTGGGCTGCCATTCCATTTCCTTTGTATCCTGAGGAAGAAAAGAAGTAAATGAGGGGCAGGATAGGGTGGCCCTGCAGGAGACGCAGGGATCACAGAAGGCAGAGGTGAAGGGGTCTCTCTCACTTGCCTGTCCTTGGAGATTTCATTCCCCCTCCCAGGCATGGTGGAGACGGAGAACTGATCATATATACACACCCTTTCCAGGGAATGAAACTTCTGTGCGCTCCCCCACCCACCTGGGGGCATCCCCAGCCTGTTCTCTGGCATGTACCCTGGGAGGAGAGCAGGCCATGAGGACTGGACTAATGCTGGGTGTGGAAATATCAGGGAGGCAGGAAGAGGGACAAAAAGGGCCTTACCCGGCTTCAGAAGTTTCCTAGCCCCTCCCAGGCCTGAGGTGACATGAACAGGGCATGGGGGGCCCCACCTTGCCCCTGGCCCTTCCCATGACCATCTGTTCCCCTTTCCGTGCCCCTTACCTGGATGTGGTCCTTGGCCTCGGAAGGCTCTAGTTCCCAGTCCATTTCTGTACCCTATGGAGACAAAATGGGGCTACCTCTCCTCCAAAGACCTTTCCTCTGATCTCTTTCTGGCATCTGACCTACAACACGTACCCCTCCTCCCCTTCCTAGTCCATAGTTAATGGAGACTGCAGGGTCTAGTGGGCAGAGAGACATGGAAGACAGAAGAACCCTATCAGGCTATGCAGAAACCAGGGGGCTCTTCAGATAGGTTCTAGAGTGAGTATCCATTTGCTTTCTTTGCTCTACTTTCCAAGCCTCTGCTCCCTAAGCCCCTAGTACCTTCTTGTTGCCATTCTGAACTGGGAGGAGGAGGAGGGGGGTGGAGGAGGGGAGGAGGGGAAGGAGGGGGAGGAGGGGGAGGAGGGGGGAGGAGGGGGGAGGAGGGAAAAGTGAGCGGAGGACGGAACTAAAGTTAGGGAGGAAGGGACTTGGCCTCCCCTTCAGAGTCAGGCCAGAAACTACAGGCTCCTTGGGATCTTCTCTGCAGACATGACAGTGGACAGTGACAGGACAGCCAGACACAAACTCCCTTACCCAGCTGGATTCCAAGCCCATGCCCATTCCGAAATCCTGGGGATACAGATGGAGGGGACCATTAAAGAGGGAGCAAAGTTCAGGGCTGGCGGGGACAGGCAGAAAGACAGGCTAGAGATGGGCACACCTTGCTTCTGGGGCCTCATGTCTGTTCCATAGTCTGAAAGAGAAACAGGGTACAGGTGAGAGATGCTGGGTTCCCCGCCTCTGGGCCTCATAAGCCTAGCTCTGCTCCTACCTCGTCCATAGCCATTTCGAGCTGCAGGGCCTGTGGGAGGATAAGGAAGATGCTATAGTGGGCCATGGAAGAAGAGGCCAGGGTGAGAGCGGTCTCTTGGGGTCCCTCACCTCCCTCCCTGGCTCCACAATCCCCACTGATTTCCACACGTCCTTCATAGGAACTAAGGATGGGCTCTCCTTGAAGACAGGCACAGGAAACACCTCTCCCACCATGAGCTTAAGAACTAAGGATGGGGGGCTGGAGAGATGGCTCAGAGGTTAAGAGCGCTGTTTGCTCTTCCAGAGGTCCTGAGTTCAATTCCCAGCAACCACATGGTGGCTCACAACCATCTGTAATGCGGCCTGGTACCGTCTACTGGCCCGGGCAGAACACTGTATACATAATAAATAAATAAATTAAAAAAAAAAAAAGAACTAAGGATGGTGAGGAAAGAGAGAGAGATAAAGAGAGAGAGAGAGAGAGGCTCCCCACCTGGCTTCTGAAGCTTCCCACCTACTCCTACAGTTGGCAAAAGACAGAGAGAGGCTGACTGGAGTTGTGTCAGGGACTCCCTCAACCCTCTGTCCTTCTGATACCTATCTCTAGCCTTTCTTCCCATCTGCCTGGTTCCCTAACATCACTGTAAGACCCATGCCCAGAAGACCACACCTGGCAGGGCATCAAGTCCATTTCCATTCCCAAATCCTGGGGAGGAAAGGGAGTTGGGGTAAGATGGGGGTCTCAAAAGGAGGCAGGGGAATGAGGGGGCTGTCCCTTCTTCTGGACTCCTAAATCTCCAGCTAAAAGGCTTCATACCCCTCCCAGGTCTGTGAAGGAGGATAGCACAGAATTCAAGCCTCAGGCTAGACCACCGATCTGTCCATCATTCAGTCAGGCTCAATCTTTGGGGCCCCAGCCAGCCCTAGCCCATTGCCATAAAGAGAGAGGGAGGGAGACATGGTGGAGGTATTTATGGATCCAGGAGGGCATGATCAGGGACCCTGTGCTGGTTGGTTTTGTCAACTTAAGCCTAGAGTTTCTGGGAAGAGGGACTCTAAATTGAGAAAATGCCTCCATCAGATTGGCCTGTGGGGCATTTTCTTGACTGGCGGCTGATGTGAGAGGGCCCAGCTCACTGTGGCAGTGCTGCTGGCCCTGGGTGCTATAAGAAAGCTGGTTGAGTAAGCCCTGAGAAGCCAGCCAGTAATCAGCACTCCTCGTGGCCTCCGATCAGTTCTTGTCCTGGCTTCCTTTCATTATGGACTGTGACCAGGACATTTAAGCCTAAGGAAAACCTGTCCTCCCCAAGTTGCTTTGGTCGTGGTGTCTTATCACAATAATAGAAACACAAACTAAGGCAGGGACAGACTCAGAGTAGACAAGACTCACCTGATTTCTGGGCTTTCCTGCCCACTCCAAAGCCTGTAGGAGACATGCACAGCTGGTGAACACTGCTTGTTCACCCCCGCCCCATACATACACTGTATATAAGTCTCCCAGTCCTAGCCCCCACCCCTAGCTGCTCCATATCCATTCAGGGCTGCCAGGCCTGTGTGAAGGGAAAATAGGATATGGGTTTCGGTGGAGGTGAAGGCTTTTTCTCTTGTACGAAACTAGAAACACAGAGTCCTGGAGGCCTGCTCTCAGCACCTCCTCGGTTTTGTACCAACTCTGCTCCTCTGAGGCCTGGGAGGGGAGCACAGAAGGACACCCCACATGTGGCCCTTATCTCACTTGACTAGGCTCCCAGTCCATTCCCAAACCTGGAGGGGCAAGTGAAGGTGGAGATTGTTCCAGAGGGAGCACTGTCATTGGAGGGAGACAGAATCCCTGGCAGGAGTGAGTCCCACCTGCCTTCTGGGGTACTGCATGTGATCCAAAGCATGAGAGAAATAGGGAGTGGGTGGGGCCCTAGCATGCCTCGTTTAGAACCCTAGTACCCTGGCTGCAATCTCTCCTAGTCCCCTGGTGCCCGCACCTGGCTGGGCAGCAGCTCCTATTCCATTCCCATTGCCAAACCCTGGGAGAGAGCAGAAAAGAGTAAGGGGAGGCCAGGCTATGTAGGGGTGGGTGGGCTTCACAGGGACACTGAGACAGGGCAGAGCTCACCTGCCTTTGGAGGTTTCATGCCCCCTCTGATGTCTGAGGAAGAAATAAGGACTCAGTGAGAAACTGAGAGCTCCCAGGACCTCAACCCTAGCACATACCCCAAAACCTCAACCCCAGCCCATACTCCAAAACCTCAACCCCAGCACATACTCCAAAACCCCAACCCCAGCACATACTCCAAAACCCCAACCCCAGCACATACTCCAATTCCTTCCATTCCCTCCTCACCTGGTCCACGCCCATTCTGAACTGGGGGACCTGTGGGGAAGGGAGGGATGAACAAGGGACAGAAGGTCCATAGTCAGTCCCCACTTCATACCATGTTAAAAACCAGCCCTCCTCCTAATTGACTGTCCCCCAAAGCCTGAGAGGGGAAGGTGGGCTGTAGGGGTGTAGATGACACTCCCATAGACACACAGCCTACCAGCATCACCTGACTGGGCTCCCAGGCCAAGTCCATTCCCATTCCTGAATCCTGGGGACAGAGAAGAGTGTGAATGAAGGGGAGCTCAGGACCTGGGGAAAGACAGGCCGAGGAACAGGTCAGGACAGGGCTCACCTGGCTTCTGGGACTTCACACCTCCATAGTCTAGAGGAGAGACAAATATCAAGGTGAGGGACCTGGGATTCCCATTTGAGGGCCTCCCGAGGAGCCCAGCCCTGCTCCTACCTGGTCCATATCCATTCTGGGGTGCAGGACCTAGTAGGGAAAGAAGGAGATTATATATCAGGACTCTTTCTGATATTCTGCCCAAGACCTGAACTCCATCTCCATCCACACACCGACAGACGTGCATGCGTCTTAACGGAGTCATACTGTGCGCTCTCTCCTTATACTGTTGTTTTCTTTGCCAAACCCTGAGCATCGAGTCCTAGCATCTTCTCACTCTGGCCTCTGAGTATTCAGACCCCGAGTGCTTATGGAAGTCTGTACCGTGCATCTTCCTGCAAGCCTGATCCCAGAGCTGTGTCAGTCCCAAATGAACATGCAGGAAGCTATATAAATTATGAAACTGTTGGCCATTTGCTATGGTTTCTTAATGGCTAGCTCTGACTTAATTATTAACCCATAGTTACTAATATATATTTTTATAAGGTCTTTTTTGTTTGTTTTTTGAGACAGGGTTTCTCTGTGGCTTTGGAGCCTGTCCTGGAACTCACTCAGTAGACCGGGCTGGTCTTGAACTCACAGAGATCCCCCTGCCTCAGCCTCCTGAGTGCTGGGATTAAAGGCATGTGCAACCACTGCCCAGCTGTAAGGTCATATCTTACCGAGAATGCCAGACTTGCACCCTCTCCTCCCAGGATCACATGGTGACTACATTTCCCAGAATCCTCCTCGACTCCTAGTCCCACCTATCTTGCTTCCCTATTGGCCAGCGGTGCTTTATTTATTAACCAATAAGATAACATATACACAGAAGGACTTCCCCCATCAGAAGTCCTGCCAGAACTTCTGTCCCCCAGGTCTGGCTCTGGCAGTCCCTCACTTTCTGCCTCTCGTCTGTCCTCTGCTGTTCCCTGGTCTCTTTCCTGGGTTTCTTTCTTCTGCCCATGTTCTAGAAGGTGATGGTTCTGTCTTCTGCTGTGAGCCTTTAACTTCCTTCTTGCCTCTCTAAAGTGAAGGATGCCATATCCTGTTGCCTGGGTCCCCCCTTAGGTATCACAACCAGCCAGAAAAACACCTTCCTTCATCCACACTATCTCCTGCCTTCTTGGCCCCTCAGTCATTTCTAGAGCCCACAACCTCTTTCTGTGGGTGTCTCTTCCATGTTCCTTAAGCCTCCACCAGTTTTCAGTGGACCACAGCCAACTCCCCAACTTTACTTTCTCTGTTCTAGAATTCTCAGGGTGGCACTTGTGACAGCCTCAGTACCATGCCGGTGCTATCTGTTTTCCCAACATACCTTGGACTTCCACACCTGGCTAGCCCAGGATGGGTGTGGTTTATAGAATGAGTGTTTGCTGTATGAGGCTAAATTGGAAAGCAAGCAGGGGGTCTCACCTGGCTTCTGGGGTTTTAGTCCTTCTCCAAGGCCTGAGGAAGAAGAGAGATTTTTAGTCCTCCACATTAGCACTCCCATCCAGGGGTGCTTGAAAAATCATAGTGCTTTACCTGACTGGACTCCAGTTCCTGGGAAGGCCCCAGCTCCCAGCCTATTTCCATCCCCAAGTCCTGGGGAAAGAGTGAAAGAAAATGAGATTGGGAGCCTGGAGAAACACAGGTGTGTAAGTACAAGGACGGGCATAGCAGGAGCCTCACCTGGTTTCTGGGGTTTTCCAACTCCTCCAAAGCCTGGAAGAGATATGTAGGTGAGGTGTCCTCATTTCTGGGCTGGCTTCACGCCAGAAACTCAGCCCAGGACACCCGCATCTGTCCCTGTCCCCTCTTTACCTGCTCCAAAGTCATTCTGAACTGCAGGGCCTGACTGGGGGTAGAGGGAGTTGACAGGAGCCACCAATGCACTTGAATGGGAGTGAGGCCGCAGCTGGCCAGCTCCTGGCTGCATCTGCCTCATCCATGGGCCTGCTCCTCACCCTTCCATTCCTTCCGGATTGGAACTTCCTTTTTGATTGATTGCTTGTTTGTTTTGAACCAGGGTGTCACTACATGTAACCCTAACTGTTCTGGAACATTCCATGTAGAGTAGGCTGTCCTTGAACTCACAGGTGTGTCTCTGCCTCCTGAGTGCTAGGATTAAAGACCTTCATCACTAGCCTAATGGTATACACGCCTTTAATCCCAGCACTCAGGAGACGGAGGCATATGGAGCTCTTAGTTTAAGACAGCCTGGGCTACACAGAGAAACCCTGTCTCAAAAAAAAAAAAAAGGACTCTCATCAATCACTATGGTCAGCTTTGTTTTGTATTAGAGAAAATGTCACTTGTAAGCTCAGGCTGACCCCTAATTCACTGTTGGCCTACAGTGACCTTGACAGAGGGTTTCTACCTCCCAAATGCTAGAATTGTTTGTGCCACCATGCCCTGTTTTTGTTTGTTGTTGTTTGAAGACAGGACTTCTTTGTGTATTCCTGGCTGTCCTGGAACTCAATCTGTAGACCAGGCTGGCCTTGAACTCATTGACATCTGCCTGCCTCTGCCTCCTGAGTGTTGGGATTAATGGTGTACACCACTACTGTATGACAATGCATATTTTTGAGACAGGATTTTGCTCTGTAGCTCAAACTAGTCTGGAATTTACCATGTCTCTTAAACTGAGCTGGGACCCTTGATGCTCCTCCCTTGGCCTCCTGAGCACTGGGATTACAGGTATGAGCCATCATGCCCTACAGGAGTTTTGTTTTGTTTTATCTTTTTTTAATATTTTATTTATTTATTTATTTTATGTATGAGTGCTCCATGTTTATGTATGCCTTTGTGCCAGAAGAGGGCATGAGATCCCACTATAGATGGTTGTGAGCCACCATGTGGTTGCTGGGAATTGAACTCAGGACCTCTGGAAGAGTAACCAATGCTCTTAACCTCTGAACCATCTCTCCAGCCCCAGGAGTTTTGCTCTTGACCCCTAAAGTGAGCTCTCCAGCCTGTGGACAGTTGAACTTGAGCTACAATGGTGTCCACAGGGCTCAACACCAGGTCTGGCTCAGAGGTGTACTTGAGAGATTGGCTAAAGGAGTGATCTCCTGAAAACTCTGCCTTAGGATCCCCACGAAGGGGCCTCCCCATTGATGCACTTACCTTGCTGAGACCCCAGATTGTTTCCATTGCCGAGTCCTAAAGGGAAAATTATTGGGTGGAGAGTTTGAGGAGGGCGTGGGAGGGAAGGAGGGTCATAGGTGGGAGAGGACGGTGGAAAGAGCAGGTGCAGGCTCACCTGGCTTCTGAGTCTTCATGCCAGCTCCCAAGCCTGGGGGAGACCCCGGCAAACTAAGCCATGTGCACACCCCACACCATGCCGATTGTCCCAGAAATCAACTTTCTTGCTTCTTTTTTTTCAGTACTAGAGATTAAATTTGAGGCCCTGTGCACACTGGGGAAATGCCCTATCACTGAACTATATACAGATGGCCTTTTACTTTTGTCCTTAATTTTATTTATTTTAAACTTCTTTGACAATTTCATTAATGTATTTAAAGGATTTGGGTTATTTTCACACACACACACACACACACATACATATACACACGTACAAACGCACTCACATACACAGTATTACCTTCTCTCATTCCCTTCCCATCATCATCCCACTATTTTTTTGGGAGGGGGTGGAGAGCAGGGTCTCTCTGTGTAGCACTGACTGTCTTGGAATTCTATCTATAGACCAGAGCTCCTCCGGCCTCTGTCTACTGAGTACTGGGATTAAAGGTGTGTTACACCACTGCCTGGCCCCACTATGTATTTTTATCTATTTAGTTTTTGAGAAAGTTTCCCTATGCAGCCCTGGAGCTCTCCTTACTTACATATACTAGTCTCTGCGCCCTGGTGCCAGGAATAAAGGGCTGCATCGTCATGCCACTTTATTTAGTCTTTGAGACAGGTTCTCATTTAGGCCAAACTGACCTTGAGAGGCCTATAAAACTGAAGATGACCTTGAACTCCTAGTCTTCCTACTTCTGCCTCTCAAATGCTGGGATTACCGGTATATATCACTAAACCTGCTTTATGTGCTTCTGGGGATCAAATCCAGACCTTGACCTTTGCTGGACAAGCACCCGAGATACATCATCAGTCTCTACTTTTTATGTCTGAGACAGGGTGTCCCCAAGTTTCCCAGCCTGGCCGTCCTTAAACTTCCAATCATTCTGTCCCAAGTCTCTGAGATTACATGTCTGTGCTATAAGACTAGATTCCAGAAATAATGTCTTCTCCTTTTTTAAAAAAATTTTTAAAGATTTATTTACTTATTACATATACAGTGTTCTACCTACATGCCAGAAGAGGACACCGGATTGAATTGTAGATGGTTGTGAGCCACTATGTGGTTGCTGGGAATTGAACTCAGGACCCCTGGGAGAGCAGTCAGTGCTCTTAACCTCTGAGCCATCTCTCCTGCCCTTTTCCTTCTTTTTTAATGCAGCCTTTGCTGGCCCAGAACTCCCAGACATCTGCCTGCCTCTGCCTGCTGAGCACTGGAATTAAAGGCACACACCACCCCAGGCTCCAGATATCAGCTTTTGCTCTCCCAGACCATAACCTCCCCGTTTGGCCCAGGTGCCCTCACCTGACTGGGCTCCAACTCTTGGGAAGGCCTCAGCTCTGATTCCATTCCCATTGCCAAACCCTGGGAGACAGCAGAAAAGAGTAAGGGGAGGCCAGGCTATGTAGGGTGAGTGGGCTGCATGGGGACACTGAGGCAGGTCAGAGATCACCTGGCTTTGGAGGTTTCATGCCCCCTCTGATGCCTGAGGAAGAAATAAGGACTCAGTGAGAAACTGAGAGCTCCCAGAACTCCAACCCCAGTACATACCCCAGAACCCCAACCCCAGGACAAAACCCAGCTCCTCCCAGCTCCTCCTTTACCTGGTCCATGGCCATTTTGAGAAGCAGGGGCTGTGGGCAGACAGTGACAGAGTCTGTGGCCAGGCCAGTTTGAGGCTAGACTGAGGTGGTCCAGTCCACTCCCATGGCATCCCTACCCCAGACATTGGTCTCCCAGGCCCCCAGCAGTTCTCTTAGGGAACATGCCCAAAGATCAGCCTAGAAGACCCTCCCTAGGCCGGAGACTACTTCTCAAGCAATAGGTCTGGCAGAACAGTGAAGGGATCTGCTCTTGGGAGGTAATGCAGTAACAGAGATAGGGATAGGACAGGGAGAGACGGAACCTAGAGATGACAGAGCTAAACTGGGTATGCAGCATCACAGGGAGACAAGGAAGGAAGGAAGGAAGGAAGGAAGGAAGGAAGGAAGGAGGGAGGGAGGGAGGGAGGGAGGGAGGGAGAGGGAGAGAGAGAAGAGAGACAGACAGAAAGAAAGAAAGAAAGAAAGAAAGAAAGAAAGAAAGAAAGAAAGAACAAAGAAAAGGCAGGCAGGCAAGGGGTGGGCCTTCCCCTCACCTGGCTTCATGCTCCCTCCTAGGCCAGAGGCACACATAACAAGGCTGATATCCGCTGCCCTCTGATTAAAACTGTGCCCTGAGTCCTCTTCACCACCCCCACAGTTACTTCAGCACCCTGCCTCAGTTACTTCCTGCTTCAGGGGACCTACTGATGCCCAAGCCATTCTGCCATTAAATATGGAGGAGAGGGTGGTAGGCCATGGCTGGGCATATTTGGGAGACATAGGGAGCCATGGGCAGAGATGGAGCTAAGACATGGGCTGAGCAGGGTCTCCAACCCCTAGCTTAGAGGTTTTTTCCTCCCAGGCCTGAGTCAGATGGAGAGCTGACCCCTGCCCTTCATCCAGAACCAGCCTCTCTCCTTTTGGTCCCCCGGGGTCCTTACCTGGCTGAGCTGTCACCCCTGCAAAGACTCTAGCTCCAAGCTCAAATCCATATCCTGGGGTGAAAGAGCCAGAAAGAAGAATAAAGAAGGGATGGGGCATCAGGCAGAGAGGAAAAGGCATCAAGAGGGCTCTCACCTGATTTCTGGGGCTTCACAACCCCTCCAAAGCCTAAGGAAAGAGATGCGGCAGATGATGGAACCCAGGGACCAAGCCTCCCTCCTGGATTTTCTGTTCCATATCCATTCTGAACTGAGAGGCCTGAGGTGGTGTCTGGGGTCCAGCTAAGTTAGTGGTGAGACGGAGTTCCCTGCTCTCTCCTCCTCACACCTGACACAAAGGGTTGTCATAGTCTCTCTCTCCTGCCCGCCTTTCCCCAGACACCAGTTCTGTTTCCCTGAGGACTGGAGAACTAACCTAGTGCTACCACACCCCAAGCAGGGTTACCCCTGTTTTCCTGCACCTCACCTGGATAGGATGCTATATCTGGTCAAGCTCCTGCTTCTAGACCATTGGCATTACTAAACACTACGGAGACAGGGTAGGGTGTCAGGGAGGTACAGGAAGGAAGGACAAACAGCACCAGGGGAAGGCTCACCTGACTTTGGAGGTTCCAAGCCCCTACCAGCACCTGAGAAAGAGATGAAGGTCAACCGGGGATCACAGGATCCCTTCTTCCTAGGGACAACCCTTTGTCTCCAACCCTCTCCACATGGCAGCTCCACTTTTACCTGGTCCATAGCCATTTGGAGCTGGAGAGCCTGTGAGGTGAGAAAGAGCTGAGTGGAGGAAGTGTTGGGTCCCAGCAAAGTGGGGGAGCCTTGAAATTCTTCTCTGAGATCAAGATAGAAACTAGCACTCCTAAATGTCTCCTCAACCCCCATCATTCACCAGTTCCTGTCTCAGAGGCAACAGAGTGCCCCAGACGCTGACATCCTCCCACCTGATGATGCTCGTCTGACTGGGGGTTCCTGAGTCCTAGTTAGGCAGATGGAGGCCAGAGGTGCAAGAGAGACAGGCAGAGCTAGGTTGGTAGGGCTCACCTGGCTTTTGAGGTTTCACGTCTCCTCCAGCGGCTGGGGAGGAAGAAAGCAGGTGAGTACGGAAGGGCATCAGGCTGACAGCGTCCCAGAACTACGCATTACTCACATTGTCATTGTCATCACTGGGTCTTCCCACCTTCTGGGGCTATGTTCAAGTCAGTGTGAGGAAGAGTGTGATAGCATTAACCACCCCCCTTCTTTCCATTTTTAGGGTGGGGGTGAGGGTGGGACGGTTTTACTCCGTAATCCAGGCTGGTCTAGAAATTACTATGCAGTCCAGGCTGATGACTCTCAGCTGTCTTCCTGCCTCAGGCTCTGAGTTTGGGGTTTACTGCTGTGAACCACCACACCCCACTTCTGAGTTATCTGTCTACCTGTATCCACTTGTCTGGCCCTCACTTTGGGGGAGAGAGATGGAGTGTCTTGCCCCGCCTCAAGCTCTCCATTCGCCTCACCTGTTCCTGGTCCATTGGAGGGGCTGTAGCCTGGAGGACAAACAAGACGTTTAGTCTAGGAACGGGCAGAAGGGTAGGAGCCTCTCTGGGCCACCCTGCCCACACCTCTCACAATTTAGCCTCATATGCAGCCATTTGGACTGCCAAGGCCGGTCGAGTTGGGGAGAATTTAGAAAGTAGCCTGGAGGGCTAAACGTGGATGCCACATCTGTTTCTGAACCTCAGTTTCCGCTCTGGTCACATAAGGATGTATAAGGACAGAACCAAGGGAGCAGTCTGGAGTTAGGCAACTGCAGTTGGGTTCCTGGCATGGACAAAGGCATCCAAGCTCTACCCCTGGATGTTTGAGGGGCAGAGCTCACTTTGCTTTCCTCCTTACCTATGTATATAGCCCTCTTCTCCCATCCAAAGATCCTCACCTTTGGACCCTTCCTTTTCTGGAAATTCCCTTCCCTTCCCCTCCTAACTCCTCCCTTCATCCAGTCTTAGGGATCACTCCCCCACCCCCAGCCTTCCAGCTCACTGGTCCCCTGCTGCAGTCCACTTTAGCACTCTGCCTTTTTTCAGCACCTCCTCCCTCCCTTCTGTTCAGCCTGCTCTCCATTCTAGATAGCTCCAGGCCCTTCTTCCAGGGCCCCTGTGTTCTCAGGGACAAAGCTCCCAACTTTTCCAAGAAGATGAGTGTTTGAACTTCCCACTCATTGGCAAGCAGATATTGCCAGTGTTGCCAGCAGGGAGGAGACTCCATGTTCTCCTGGCTTTCATAGCTGGAGTCCCAGAGCTGGGGAACATTTAGAGGAGTCCCTAGCAAACTCCAAAAGTTCCCTGGGGTCAAAAAG